GGTAATCTATGGTAGATTTGCTATGGTGTTTGTATGGTGTACCATAGAGATTTTTTTTGTAAGGGTGCCTTCTGCTGGTAGGTTTTCCTAGTCCGGTACCAATTTCACCGTGGATCCGTTTGGCAGAAATATACTGCCCCGTTGACGTTGACACCAGTTTGATATATTGCTCCGCACCACCTCTCGACCACCGTCTTCTACCAACCGTTGTACCGTCGTATACCACAAGCCAACTAGGCCAGTCCGCTTCTGCACCTTTCAGACGTCTATACCAGTCTGCTTGTGCATGCAACTCCAATTGGCCGCACCAGTTTGCTTCATGCACCTTCCAGACGTCTATACCAGTCTGCTTGTGCATGCAACTCCTATTGGCCGCACCAGTTTGCTTCATGCACCTCCAAACAACCAGACCGTCTGACTTCGTACAGTCAGCTTACTCGACCATGCCACTGGCTCTGCTACACAGTAGTCCCTGGTATTGTCTAATACTAGAACGTAAAAGACCCAACAAACACAACCTAGATTCTTACCATGGTCGTCACCCATGGAAAGACATGCAAACGATCATCTCAATCATTTCGTTGCACGCAATACTTTATTGGGCAAATATCCAAACATAATCTGATTGCCTTACAATGTAAGTGTGCCCAGTGGGCGACGGCAATTATGTAGACTATGACAGGAAGCGCACAAACAAGCAAGACACTTGATTTATATAGACATTTCTTATACATTTATTATTCTCGTTGGGTTTCCAATAATTACATAAACATTGATATAACTTCACTTTCCAATATCAGATTGAAACAAACCATATATCAAATGAAAGCACTAGTTTTAATCTATAAAACTAAACAAAAGAGAACAAGTAATTATTAATGGTAGAAAAGTAATAACACTAAAACTGTCAAAAACATGCACGATCAAACATTCTTGAAATTGACACGTGACTATATAGCGTCGTATATTTAACTTGAATTACGCCATCTACGCCGAAATAACTATCTACGAAATGAAACCAATTTCGTGACAATATATATATATATATATGTGTGTGTGTGTGTGTGTGTGTGGGTGTGTATATAATAAATGTCTTTGTCAAGTCAGGGAAGATAATATTAACTTTGTCAAGTCAGGTCAGATAAAATTATCTTTGTCAAGTCAGGAAAGATAAATTTATCTTTGTCAAGTCGGGGAGATCACATTATCTTGTTCAAATCAGGTCAGATAAGATTATCTGTGTCAAATCAGGTCAGATAATAACATCTTTGTCAAGTCGGGAAGATAATAGTATCCTTGTCAAATCCGGGTAGATCATTATCTTTGTCAAGTCGATGCAGATAATGTCAATGTCTAGTCAGATCCCACTGACAAAGAGAAATAATCTGCGGTTCTCCTCGCAGCTGCTTGTTGATAGGTCCAGCTCGGCGATCCGTCCAGCTGCCCGAGGTCCGACCAGGGGCGTCGCCAAAGGGGGGGGGGGGTGTGGGGGATGCGACACCCCCCCCCCCACTTGTCAGGATATTGTCGGTAAAATTGTGCTGCCGTCGGGGAAAAAAAGAGAAAAGGAAAAGAAAAGAAAGAAAGGAAAAAAAAGGATAGAAAGGAAAAGAAAGAAAAGAAAAGAAAAAAAAGAGTAAAAGGGAAAGAAAAGAAAGAAAAGAAGAAAGAAAAGAAGAAAAAAAAACGAAGAAAAAAGAGTAAAAGGGAAAGAAAAGAAACGGGGGGGGGGTGAAAGAGAGGAGAGAGGGGGGAGGTAAGAGCCTGAGAGAGGAGGAGTGGGAGTAAATAGAGAGAAGGGGTTTGTTGGCTGGAGTCGTCTCGTCGAGGGAGCAAGAAAGACATGGGTAAATATGTTGCTGTGTCGGGTCAGCTGTGTCGGTATTCTTGCTCGATCCCCGTGTACTATATCAATGCAGAAGTTTGAAGTCGGTGAGATGTATATTGTCGGTCCGCTACGACCTGTGACTTTTTATCCGCTGTGACGACTTCGAGAGTGACTACAACAATAATATTTTAATATATTTTAAAAATTAAAACTAAATTCAAACAAGGTTTAAGAGTCAACAACGGTACAACAAATCGTCTTCTTTCTCTTATAATTTAAGGAAACGTCCAAGCTTCCGCGCTTCGCGCGACAGGGGGATACTGAATTCAGACAAATAGGGCTTATTAAGAGTCGAAAACGGTACAACGAATCATCTTCTTTCTCTAATAATTTAAGGAAACGTCAAAGCTTCCGGGCTTCGCGCGGAAGGGGAAAACTTCATTTAGACGAGTCGAGAACGGTACAAAGAATCGTCTTCTTTCTCTAATAATTTAAGGAAACGTCAAAGCTTGCGCGCTTCCCGCTAAAGGGGGAAACTGAATTCAGACAATTAGGGCTTATTAAGAGTCGAAAACGGTACAACGGATCGTGTACTTCCTCTAATAATTTAATTAAACGTCAAAACTTCCACGCTTCACGCGGAGTGGGAGAACTCAATTCAGATAAGGATTAAGAGTCGAGAACAGTACACCGAATTGTCTGATTTTTCTCATAATTGAATGAAACGTCAAAGCTTCTGCGCTTCGCGCGGGAGGAGGGGGAGAAACTGCATTCAGAAAAGGAATATGAGTCGAGCACGGTTCAACGAATCGTCTACTTTCTCTAATAATTTAATTAAACGCCAAAACTTCCGCGCTTAGCGCGGGAGGGGGAGAAACTGAATTCAAACAAGGATTTACAGTCTTCTAATTAATCGTCAAAGCTTTCGCGCTTCGCGCGTGATTGGGGGGGGGGGGGGAACTTCATTCAGACAAGGATTAACAGTCGAGAACGGTACAATAAATCGTCTTCTTTTCCTAATAATTTAAGGAAACGTCTAAGCTTCCGCGCTTCGCGCGGAAGGCCTATTACCCACACCCCCTTAATGAGTGCGCTTCGCTTGCTCACTACCGCCCCTTCCTAAAATAAGATCCTAGCTCTACGCCTGCATTAAAATATATAGCTATGAATGCTGACTAAGTTCACGAAATAATTCGTATATTTGTGTCGTCGTGGAAAATGACCATTCGCGCATACGCAAGTACTACATATAGTCCATAGGAAAAACAATTTAGCCTTCGGCCCCGGGTTTATAAGGTTAAATGTGTAGATATTGGACATTTAATTTTGTCGGTAATCGTTGGCCTCTACACCCCCCCCCCCCCCCCCCCCACTGAAAAAGGTCTAGCGACGCCCCTGGGTCCGACTCTAGATCGGCCCATACCGCCGTCATTTGTTCAAGTTCTGATTTTGATGTCTGGCGATCTCGATTTTAGGCCTACATGTAATCTCCGATATTTTTTTGTTCTTAACTTTATTTTATGTCCAAAAGAGGCAATAATGGCTGAGGCGACTCTTCCTAATTTCAACTGCTTGATGATGATCAATTACAAGACTTGATTAATTCTGCGGACAGCAGGAACACCAGAGATTTGTTTCAATTTGTTTCAAGCCAGCAGGTCCAAGCCCCTACATTCAATATCCAGAACTGCCGCGTTGTGAACATCTACAGCAAGTAGTCTAAACTCTCACAGTCTTTGTAAATATGTTGCGAATCTGGAGTTTTATCGAATTTTATCAAAAAAGTTACTGCTTGAGTTAACTATTTATTACTTCTGCTTTTCCTGTTTTACTGGAGCACAGTTTTACTTTCCCTGTTCTACTGGAGCACAGTTTGATGAATGTATACAACAATATACATAAACTAAATAATAGGAAGCAATAATTATAGATTATTAATATTATTATTATCATTATTATTATTATTATCATTATTATTACATATTGTACTATTGCCATAATATTAATTTGTATTATTATTATCGTTTTTATTATCACTATAATTCATTACTATTGTTTAAAATATCATTATCATTACGAATCAAGAGGTGCCAGGGGGCTGGTCAGAACATAGGACTAAAGAAAATATATTTTTTTTATGAAAGAAGAAGAAGGAAAGAAGAAGGGAAAAAAAAAGAGGAAGAAAAAGATGATTTATGTTATCTAGGAATAGCATAATTACCATGACAGATTACAGTGAGTTCTATGTAATCTATAAACATAATTGAAGAAGAAGGAGGAGGAGCAGGAAAAGAACAAGAAGTAAGAAAGAAAGGAATTTGCAACCAAAAATGAAGAACTCTTGTTAACGAAAAAAGCACACCGACAAAGCATAACTTTAAAAGCGTAATTATTTATTCTAGATCATCAAGGAATAACATCATCAGAGAGAGTTCTGTTATCCCTATGAACATAAGCCATGATTTCCAAAATAGCTGGAACAATATGCATAATATAAAAAGCAAACATTTTCTACTACACACCAGGTACATGTATGTGATCATAATTATATTGCAATTGAGTATATTTTATAAAGGTACAACATGTTTAAAAACATGAAAGCTTTGCAAAACAAAACTCTGAAAGAATGAAAGACTTTTAAAAATAGAGACAAGCCTCAGGCATAATATTTAAAATTTACCTTCATACCTTGCACAAACTATACACAACATGTATTGTGATCAGTGACATTTATCATTCTATCAGGACTTGAAAGGAGGAGAGGACGAAGGGGGGGGGGGGACACATGATTAAGAATCAGTATCAACCGGTTTCAATAAAATCTAACCCTCCTTTCAGATTCAGAGATTCAGATAAAATGTTAATCGTCCATTTGGAAATTCAGTTGTTGGCATTACATAAAGGACATGAACAATATACAATAGAAAATATTATACACAAATAGATAAACAGAAACAAAATAAAGGAAACACGGATATAAGTCGTTTTTACATAGTGGAATAATATAAGAAAATAGAAAAAATAAATGGACTTACAACACTATTGAAAGAGTACAACTGCGGAGAATTCGAGAATAGTATTGTTATTATCTTTTATTATTATCGTTTTTATTATTTTTATCATTAATATTACTAATATTGTATTACTATTATTATTATTATTATTATCATCATCATTATCATTATCAACAGTATTTATTACATGTATCATTCTTTGTCACGGTTATATAGCTGAATTCTTTCTTCTTCTTGTTTCTAGCAGTTTCAATCAGATTTACGTGATCTTTCTCGAATTTTGTCTCGTTATATTGGTGTTATGTACAAGTTAAAGCATTTTGTTCCACTTAGTATTTTGCTCATTATATACAAATCTTTCATTCATTTACGTATTTCCTACTGTAACATTTTATGGGCCATTAATAAAGTAAATACTGATGGTATCTTAAGGTTGCAAAAGAGAGCAATGAAACTATGTTGTGGCTCTGGGTACTTTGATCACACTGACCCATTATTTTTCAGATTGAGAACTTTGAAAGTTACTGATATTCATTTTATGCAAATTGCAGTGTTCATGTACAGACTTAATAAAAAATAACTGCCTTTATCATTTTGTAACGATTTTACTCTAAATAGAAACATTCATAACTACCCAACCAGACAGTCTTCTGATTTTCATTTGTTTACACCAAGGAGTGCTTTAGCCCACAGATCAATTCGATATGTAGGTCCTGACATTTGGAACGCTTTGCCGCAGGAAATACGAACTTGCAATAATCTTTTGTTATTTAAAAAATACTGAAGGAATTATTTCTCTCCATATATGCTTGTTAACTTTTGAAGTACATTATGTTAGTGCTATTTTTTGTCAATGAAGATGTACATTAAGGGGCATGATTTTGTATTTTGTTTTATTTTGTAATTACAGAATGTCTTATTTTAAGCCATGTTTTATCAAACCTAATAATTACCAGATATTATCATAGGGACGTTGCGCTTCAAACATTTTTTGCTCATGCATTGTTCCTACTCTGTATTATTATTATATATTGTAACCGAATTCTATTATCTGTAAACAGTTATTTTACATGGTAAATAAATAAAACAAACAAACAAACAAACAAACAACCTCCTTGCTACCAGCCTGAGTGTCGGTCACCCCGTTCATTCTACCGGTGCCATTCAGTTTAACATACTCCAAACTACCATTGACCATCAGGGAGTCCTGTACCAGAAGACAACCCTTGACAAATCTACCGATACACAGCCCACCTTGCTGATAAGCTTTTTGCTGAAAGCTATTCATGGCACCCCTGATATCCCCGTAAATCTCATACCTATTCAAAAACAGAATCCGGAGCTCCTTAATAAAGTCAAAGACAAAACTAAGACAATTACCCAGAATGCACTTAAGGAGATCACTGATATAGCCCAGGAGTTTCTGAGTGATCGACAATATATTGCATTTTGTCAGAGTCTTGGCAACATCTTCAAGGGCTATGCCGAGGAGTTGTAGACCTTGGAAAACCTAGGTAAAAATAGACATAAACATAAACAAAAACATTAAAAATGTAAACACACTAACAACAACAACAACAACAACAATGATAATGATAATAACTACAAAAATAAAAACAAATGGCTTCTCTCGCCCACCACACATCTGGATGTATGGGAATTCAGTCGCCATGCAAACATTTCTTGCTACTTCAAGCAATGTTGCAAATCTTGATAACAACATTGCCTCACAGAAATAACCGTAGAATCAAAACGCCTTACCCAAAACGAATAATCTTGGTGTCATGTCATTTAGGAATACATTGTCCACTCAATAAATTAAAACCCAATGACATTGTGTCAATCATTTTGTTGCAATTGCATAATTCATGTGTTTGGCAAGATCTTTTCGGGTCACGTACCCTGTACAATAATTCTTTGCAATTCTAATGAAGGTGTCGACGTACCAGACACCGAGGGAACAGTAGTTTGTCCTTACCTTTCCCATCTTGAACGCATGGAAACACTCCTCAAACGTCTTGACAGTCTCTAGAGTCTCATTTATACATGCAGCAATGTTATCCGTAGGAACACCCAGACCGGTGTATATACCTCGGTAAAGTTGCATCTTTTTCGACTCGCGGGATTCGTTGTAGAAGGTCACATCTGATCAAGACAAGTATAGTTTAGGTAGCAATGTGGAGATTGGCATGAAATGTGTTGTTAAGAGCTACAAGAACCAGCAGGTCCGTGTTACTCACCACTTTTCTCTATCCGTTTTGAACATAATATATTTCACAAAAAAATATCTCTTTTTTTCTTCTTTCTAAACATTGCTTGAATCCTCATTTAATATATGCATAATCGTCATCATTGATATTACATTATGTTAATATAAGGAATTTGTTTAAACGGGTGTGTCCAAAAAAAAAAAAACTTCCAATGTCATTCATGCAAAATATGGGGAATAGCCTCATACGAACGAGCCTTTAACGTACCCATTGTCATGATGCTCTTGTATTGACTGTTCACCAGGTAGCGAACCTGATAAGTCCCGTTCGGAAGGTAAGAGGACATAGACACCTTCCCCATGTTGACTGGGTTCTTTCCAGGATTCAGGCCACCCTGGACAAACCTGGAGAATAATGATAAAGAAACCTGTATATAAAGACCACTCAAGAAAAGTGGAAAACTCAAAAAAATAGTGAAACCTGTATATAAAGACCATGCACTCAGCAAGTAGAGTGAAAAATTCAAAAATTTGCAAATTTACCCCAAGATTGATGATTTTTTTTTAAGTTACCCTCTATATTAAAGGACATAACACACACAATCTGGCTTGAGCATAGCTATGGTCTGTCAGTTTCTTCTGTCATGCTAGTCTCACAGTCTTGGAGGTTTTAATCCGGCGACCCGGGTTTGAAACCCAGTCGATGCGTTAGTGCCCTTTTGTAAGGCATTAATCCTCATTACCAGGTCCCTCGGAGAGGATCTAAAGCCGTCGGTCCTCTGGTTGCCTATACTAACAAGCATTTTTACTTTCTTAGCAGTCAGGTAAACAAATAGCACCACATAAACATCCACAACAAGACACTGTTTTGCACAGTGACGAACAAGGGCCAGTGCCAGCAAACTAACGGTAAAGATAGAGCTTTCAGACCTACCTGTAGTCTAGGTACTGATCGTTGTTTCCTCCCTTGGGGTAGACACCGATCCAGTCCATATTGGAAGCCTGGTTACTAGAGATGGACCAGGACACGACCAGGTTCTTGGACCAAGCTACCTTATTTGGACTGATGTCCATGGAATGTGAAGCCTCAACCGGAACAACCTGCAAGGAATGCATGGTCAGAATGAATTCAAAGATCGAGGAAGGAACTCCATAAAGGTTTAATTTTATCGGCTTAATTTATCTCCTCAAAAAGTTACTGATTCGTATTGGATTTTTCATGCACTCTTAGATTTTTAAGAAGTATGTCAGACCATAAGCCAAGATGTTTTGGCTCAGAGATACACTGCTGATTATCTCATGGACCTCTGTTGGATAGACCAAAAGCGATGTCGAACAGCTTTCACCTCAAAGAGGGTGCGATTTTTGACCTGACAAGCGTTCCTGCAACAATCCCCCGGGCTTTTTATCGTCAAAGGTTAAGGGTTAGGTTGCAATTCGACTTTAGGGTTCTAATTAGGGTTAGGTATAGGGTCCTGGATTTAATTAATTATGAATTTGCTTAGCATAAGAAATTGACGCGGAGCAATTGTCGCAAGAGCAAGTATCGTACAATGTGGTCCCATCTCACACACGATTACGTTATCTCTCGTAACAAGAACAAACTCAATGTAACCAATGTTAGTCAACTTCCAATGATCACTAAAAGGTCTTGAATGATAAAATAATCCGTATCCAGACCACTTCCCCCTGGACATCCACCCCTGGATAACCACTCCAAGTCAACTCCCCTTTAGGACAACTACCCCCAGACAAATCCCCCCCCCCCCGGTGACTACCCCCCCCCCCCACAGACAGTGGGTAGTTGCCCTGGGGGTAGTTGTCCTAGGGGGTAGTTGTCCTAGGGGTAGTTGACTGGGGGTGGTTATCCAGGGGGTGGCTGTCTAGGGGGTAGGTGTCCTAGAACCCAAATAATCACCTGATTTTTGTAATTGAGACCATATGCTATCCACCAGCCAGCTTCGTTGAGACGGAGGACAGGGTTATTGATAAACGCTGCCCCAGTCAGGTTTTGTGGAATCTTTCTCCAGACGTTCCAAGACTTATCCCTCCCAGGCTGCCAAGTTTGCCATAATCTACAACATGAAGACAAACAATCATGATTTCTCGAGGGGAACTTCACATTATAGCAGATGTGTATTGGGCTAACTTCAAATCGTCTGGTCATCGCGTCTAGTCGGTTGGTCGCGTTACATGACCTTTCGTGAAACGAAAACATATAATCATGTGAAGATGCACGTTAAGGAATAGACCTTTCGTACATTTGCCTTAAAGTTGTTGAAGTGTCGAGTACATTCGACCAAACAATTGTTGGTCTATTAGTACCCTTTTCACATCTATTTTTCTTAACCCCGGACTATCCTTAACCCCATACTATCCTTAACCCCATACTATTTTTTTTGCTGTTCACATCTATTTTCTTAACCCCGGACTATGTGCTTAGCCGGGGTTAAGAAATTTCACGCGATTCACACTACGTTCGCCTTAGCCCCGGACTATTCGATAGCTCATGAATACTAATGCTTTTGCTACCGCGCATGCGTAACGTGAACTGCATGCATAGCGCGCGATAAATGCAAATTCACGACCACACGACCACGCTGTCTGTGATTGGCTGTTGCTTAGCCCCGCTTCTCCTTAGCCCGGTTCGGATTCACACTACGCAGCTTAGCACCACAATTGCCCGGCTAACCCCGCAATTGCCCGGCTAACCCTGCTATTTTGCAGGGCCAGATAGTCCCGTACTATTTGTGGGGTTAGCCCACTTTGGCAAAACGTAATGTGAACAGAAAGCCGGCTAAAATTACCCCGGGTAATTGGTGGGGCTAAGGAAGGAATTGGTGGGGCTAAGAGCCCCCTTAGCCCCACCTATTTCCCGGGGTTAAGCAATATTTGGTAGATGTGAAAAGGGTATAGGTGCTGTCGGTATTGCGGCCTGATAATATTCTAGTCTATCCATGTCTAGATGGCTAATTAGTACGTTTGGCTAAATAAATTGGTCCCATGTGCCGTTTTCCGGCCTACAAACGAGAGAATCCTAGGTCTCTGGATATACTTACTGTCCACTCGTTTCTTGGACTGCAAAGATCTCGACCCCAAAGTGTACATTCCTGCTCATGACCAAGTTGTTTTGCACCCCTCCTTGGTCAAATGGAATCTTCCTGCCAGTCTGATGCCAGTTTCCCCACGTGCAGTAACTCCAAGGATTGTCCACTGTGTCACAGGTAGCCTGGGCGCACCTGATTATCGCAATCACACACAGAAAATATGTATGATAATAATCAAAAGGAGATTTAACTGTTACGAGAAGAGTGGTGTGTGTGTGTGTGTGTAACTGGGTTTTTACAGAAGTGTATTAATCAGATATGATTATTTACGTTTGGGGACCGACCTTTAACTTCTCCATCCAAAAGACGTGACTCAGTTTCGAACGGCCGGGGTCGCCTGAGCCAGTTTGTAGGCGAAGACAGAAAGCTAGACCAACTGAAATCTCCCTGTTTTCTGGATTTATGTTTTCAAGAATTTCTTAATTGGTGTTTGGAATTAGCTGATTACATGAAAGATGGGATATTGCCCCATTTTTTTAGATGCAGTTCCAGTAAATATGCGACCCCGAGCTTTGCAACAAGTTTTTATAGAATGGTACATGGACGCAGAAAAGGACCCTTAGAGGAGCGAAGATTGGAAGGAGATGGTTTGGAAAATGCACATCCATCGATCTAAAGACCTAAATTGGATCATTTACAATTACAATTTTGCCACAGAGGAACAATCTACAAGCGCCTCACTGAGCAATCTTACCAAAAACACAGAGGGAAAAGTTAGAAAGACGTGAGAGGACCTCTCCCAAGGTTTGAATGTATCTCCTGTATTTCTTTTGTCATTCAGCAACGGAAAATTTGCTCTTTTCTTTTCGCGGTTTGTTTTGGAAGGCATGACTGACCCTATCACTTCCCCTTGGCTACCTTGCCTGTTAACCATAATCTTAAAACATGTTTGCTACAAATGTTACTACACTGAAGTAAACATATCTGCTTCTAATACCAATCCTACAGTCAACAGAAAGTGAAAGTGCATAGTAAACTCTGAGGTAAATGTAGAGCACTTGTCTTTTATGAGCTGGTCGTAATTGATCGTTGAACAGCCAGAGAACAGTGTTATTTACACAAAATATCATGCATTCTTAGTTTACTATGAAGGTTTAATTTATTTTTGATTTTGCGGACATGCCCACCTGTGTACGAAGTTATCCACTCCGATTCCCCCAATCATGATCTTGCCGTTACGAATGTTGTAACCCATTACTTGAGCGACAGGTCTGGAGACAACAGAGAAGGTTGGTGAAGCTGAAAGGAAAAGAAAGGGTGCATGAGGTTCTTTTTTAAGGCGATGAACTGATGAACTTACAGCCCTATAGGGTATTGTTGATTTCACAACGCCATCTCATGGTCAACTTTCCAACAGTGCTTAACAATTACCTTATAACAGGAAGCTGGAATGCTTATACCTAACTTCCACTTCGCAGACAGAGACTCGACGAGAGAACCAACAGCGCAGCAGAACCAACAGAAGCAGCGAGTGACGGGACCATACTGCTACAACTGACCTGAGATGGCACTAGAAGGGATTTTGCGGTAGTGCTTCTAATACAGTATGTATTTAAAATACCGATCTACTAATGTATTTCAAGCAATTCGCTTCTAACCTATGTACTAAGTCAGGCAATGTTTTGTTGGGCCCACGTTTGTATAGCAATGTATTTGACTGCCCCCGGAAAATAATTCGCAATTAACTTGTTGACGACTGAATTATCTCATTCCCATAGGCTTAATACAGCGTCTACCCTGTTCCAGTAGGCAAAGGGTTAAAGCAAGTTGTTCTTACAGGCCATTGCTTTCCAGGCTTTAAAGCTGTTGCCACTGGTGTGCTGCCATGTCCGGTACATCTTCCCTTTAGGAGATATCACGAATCCTTCATACTTGGCCGTGAAAGGATTCTTGATCAGCGTAGCATCTGTTCCAATGAGCGCAGTTCCAGCGACAAGACCCCAAGTACAGCTGGTTGGAGTGCCTATTCAAATTTAGAATTCAAAAACATTTATTTCACATTAGTTAAAAACTACAATATATGCAGAAATAAACTAAGAGAACAGAAACTAGAACTGCAATCGTATTAGAACGATTGGCATGCATTGACGCCCATATTTTTACATAACAGACGAAAGGGCCTCTCTTGGACTATCCAGAGGAATTCGTTAGAAGTCTGTAGCATTTAGAATAGTGGAGATAGGTAAGCCAAAGAAAGGCTTCAATAACGGCCTGCAAAGAAAAAATGGCGCCTGGACGGTCACACATGAGTGATTTTGGAAAACGAAGCTGTCTGTCACCTTAATGGGACATTAGAAATTATGCCTATGCATTATGTTAAGGAATGTGGATAACAAAAGGGACCTAGGTAGGGCTTACAAGCACTGCGTGCATAACAAATCGGATTTGGTGAAAGAAGAACATGTCCTCACTATGAACATAAAGGACAAAGAAAGAGGACAAAATATACAGTTCCTCATTCTACCCTCAACAATTGCTGTGGTAGACAAAGGAACATCGATCCCTTCACTGCTATTATGTAAAAATGTGTAGAATAGGTGTCACATGCATATTCACCTGTTCTACACATTATTGTTGAGGGTAGAATGAGGAACTGTATATTTTGTCCTCTTTCTTTGTCCGTCATATTCATAGTGCCTGACGCGTGCCATGGCCTAAATGGCCTTCCATACTAATATAATCATGCAGGGTATAACATTTGCGTCAATAATGCCCGCCTTCACAGATTTTCAAATCCGGCTTCGAGATGACCTGCGTTTGGCCACCCAGAATATGCTTGCACAATAATATTTTAAGAAAATATGAAAACAAAGAGGGGGCGAATGGCGTTCAGAACAATGACCTCATAGCAAATACGTATTATAACTGCGCGGGAACCCAGTAGCGCGAATTTGTTACATTTGACAGCATTTTTAGCCGGGATTTTTAGATAATGCAAAAGCACTTAATATGTTATTATTTGAAATAGCTCGAATTTGAATCGTAGTAAAACAAACATCTGAAGTTATTAGCTGCTTACTATTTGTTTGACGTTTTTTAATTCTAATATTTCTTGATTCATTTTAATATACCGATTGTCCTAGAAACCAGAAAGTAATCATTTGAAATTATGCAAACTACTACTAGGAACAAGAAGATGAGGAAGAAGGGGAGGGAGATCGAAGAATCATTTCAGAGATATCAGTATTTTCGCTTTGATATAGGTATAAACATGCACATTATACATACTCCGTGGTAATTAATGCCTTAGTGATCGACACCTTTGCGTATTTGGCTTGCGTATTGCTGCATATTTATGGCAAGCCGTTTTAACATTTATTCCTTTTTCTTGATATCAAGAAATGAATTCTTGATATCAAGAAATGATTTTCTGTTATAAAGCAACGGTAAATCTGGATATCAAGAATTCGATTTCTTGACATCAGGAAATAGGAATTAATGTTATTAAAAACGGCTTGACATTAATTCGCAGCACTACGAAGCCAAATAATGAAAGGTGTGACAGAGTCATTAGAAGGAAGTAAGCAAGAGGAAAAGGAAGGAAATGTCAAGAGAGAGAGAGAGAGAGATACAATGTATATATAAAATGGCCCAGGTTCATATTCAGTTTACTGTAAATTATTAGACCCAGTAATGATGATTATTTATCTGCCATGTTATTGCCATGTGACGCTACATATAGCAGGGGGGGGGGGGTGCTCCTAAATACACACATAACAAAAACTGAAGAGGGGAGGGAGTTACCCCCCCCCCCCCCTCCTCCCTGCGTACGCGCCTGGAAGGGACCTACATGTAAATAGGGCTCACAAACTCTGCATGCAAAACGAATGGGATGTTGGTGAATGAAGAAAACGACACGAAGCGTGACGTGGCACAAAATATGGCCGTCCATACTATAAATATGATTATCCCGGGCATTAAATGGCGTCTAGAATTTCCCACTTGACACAGTGACCAGGCGTGTACACAGGGGGGGGGGGGGTTAAACCCCCCCCCTTTGGTATTTTTCTGTGCGTAAACCCCCCCCCCTCCCCCCCCCCCTTTGGATTTTTTTTGTTTTGTTTTTATTTATTAAAAAAAAAAAAAAAATTTCCAATGGCTGTCCTAAAAAAGCTGACTTTACAACCCCCCCCCCCCCCCCAACGGAGCAAAATGTCAAATTTTTAAATTTCGAGACCAAAAAAAAAAAAAAATCCTCTTACCCCCCCCCCCCCCCCCCCCTCTTATTCAGCGGTCGGCTGTGACCTCTTACCCCCCCCCCCCCCCTTGAAAAAATCCTGCGTACTCGCCTGACAGTGACATTAAGTATAATTCTTCTACGCTACAAGTGCTCTTGATAATACCTAGATTTACAGTTAATTGAAAAGATGTGCTATCATTTTTTATTTAAGGATATTCACAGATGGTGATTTTCTGACTTCTAATCGTAAGTTATTCCAGAGTTTTGGGGCTTCACAAGCAAATGCTCTATCACCTAACTTTATCTGTGCTTTGATAGGTGGGATTTATTAGGTGTTGTGGTAGAGTGGTTCATTCACTTGACTCTAAATCCAAAGGTTGAGGGTTTGAATCTCAGCCCGGTATTAATGTTGTTTAAGAAGACATTAATCCACATTTGCCACTCTCGACCCAGGTTCCCGGCAATGCTGGCCTAATGACAATCGCAGGGTCCGCAGAAAGAGTAGTATTAATATTGAGGTAGCTACCCTAGGTAAATAGAAGACCCAAGATCTATCATAATTGTTGTTATTATTAACATTATTTTTCATCATCATCATCATCATCATCATTGTTATCACTATCAACTTACCAATTCTCTATACTGTACATACCTTTACACCAATACAGCCTTGAACTAGTACTGATCGAGCGAGCAAAAACCATGAGTTGCTTGCTATACCAGACTGCAGATACGGAATCGACGAGCGTGGATCGCTTGGACAAGATGACCGGGATGGAGTTGGAACCAACTTTCTTCCACGAGGAGAAGTTCAAGAAATTAAGGGTGTCTTGAATCGCCGAGTAGACCTGCCCATCGGATGCTTGCACAAATATCTACATTATAATGATATTAATGCGAGGGCATTTTATTACCTGATCAAGACATGGGTTGAAATCTTTGTCCAATATACACCGCACTACTGAATGTGGAATTGTGAAAATAAATTGTTGTCAAATATCATTTTACTTGAAAAGGCGCTTGTTAAAGTAAAATGGGCACTTTTCAGATTGAATAGGGCAATTATAAGATGTAAATGGGCACTTATAAGAATGTGGAATGGGCACCTATATAAATTTTTAAAAAGGGCGCTTATCTGAAGTAAAAGGGGGCACCTTTTCTTTGTAAAAGGGACAGTTTGGGGATTTTGCCAAACTATAAATATGGTATTTCTTTCATTTTTCAACAACCGCATACAAAACTATTATTCATGTAAATTCATGTCATTTCAGCAACTTCTTTGTAAGTCATTAGTATCGAACTAGAAATAAATTAGGCCTACATTTTAATTTTATTTGGTGGGGGCAGTTGCTTAAAAGTAAAATGGGCCCCTCTCAGATTGAATAAGGCAGTCTGATGGAGCTGCCCCCCCCCCCCCTTCAATCAGTACGAATACGGATAAAAGAGACAAACCTGGGTTTGATTTCGTTCTGTAAATTCACACACAGGGTTCGACAGCGGCGGGATGGCCAACGGAGCTCCGAGAGTCTTCCAGGGGCTCCACCCTGCCGAGGCGGGGTCCCCATCTTCGTAGCTCACTTCCACGGAAACTGGAGAAGCCACATCATTTGATCTAAAAGCTAACAGGCCCCCAAACCCAATGCTCCCCACTCGATTTTCTATCACACAAAATCGCGATGTGCTTGAAACTGATCCGCTGCATGATGAAAAACATCCAATAAGCACGATGCCCCAAAATAGCATCGTCTCCATGATCATGATCTGATAAGTAAGTGATGAGGAATCGATGCGAGGAAAAATTAACGAATGCACAATATTAATGTAGATTTTCAGGCATTATTGATGAATTAACATATAGAAAAAAATTAATTTATTCCAGGTCCGTCTGTCACAAGAAATGGTGTGAAAATGCTTCTGGTATACACAAAGCTACTATATATAGTACATGTATTGTACAGGTATTACACAATCAGCCTGATAGATAATGCACGACCAACATGGATTTCACAATCGTTGATGTCGATGGGAATCCCAAACATCCAAAAAAAAGGCACGAAGGATGAACATTTTCTGTGTCGATAATAGTCTTTGACCACAGACTCTATATTAGACCCCTTTAATGAGGTAAGCCCAAACAGCTTGACAAGAGTCTACAGGTACAGACAATTACATGTCATATAGGTTTTTCTGTATATTATGTAACCCGTTATCAAGCAGTTTTGGCGTGCTTCATTAAAGGGTCAAAAATAGAGTCTGCGCTCAAAGACTATTATCGGCACAGGAAATGCGCATGCGTGTGCGCGTTTTTTGTGTGTGTGGATGATTGGGATTTCCCATCATCAACGATTGTGCAATGCTGGTTGTTGTGTATCAGAGATATATACTACTAAACACTTAAGTATATATCTCTATGTTGTGTATCTAGCTGTTATTCCCCCCCCCCTCTCTCTCTCTCTCTCTCTCTCTCTTCCTCTCTCTCTCTTTCTCTTCCTTTCTCTCTTCCTCCTCTCTCTCTTCCTCTCTCTCTCTCTCTCTCTCTTTCTTACCCACTATTTCTCTCTCTCTCTTCTTCTCAATCTGAGTGAACCTCTCACTCTTCACTCACTAATTAGGCTTAATCCCCCCCCCCCTCCCCCCCCCCCCCCCCCCACCCACCATCACCACACCCGTTCCTGCACAAGCCGCTATTAGATGACTTTCTTCCAAACCATACACTACCATCAAGTGAAAGAGGGCGACATTTCTATTTGCCACACGTCCAAAGATTCAATGTTCGGTCCTCGCTTCGCCTGGCGCAGAATAAACGATAACAAAAGTAAAACAATTCTTATTATTCTTATTATTTATGAGATATAACTTGAGTCTCGATCTTCATGGCAATCGTTTAAAATATTAAAAAAGTAGGCCTAGTACATGTTCTTTTATAGGATATAAGATATAGCATTATATAATTTGTGGTCTATATTCCCGAGTCCTCTCCTAAATACGGATAAAAAACAAAATTGTAAAGAGCATAGCAACAACAACAACACAACTTCGATCGACGAAATATGGTTAATACGTGATTATGTAGCCCCCCCCCCCCCCCTACTCTCTTCAGGTACACGTTTAAACCCAGCTTGCTTATAACGCGCGTGTACAGGAGAGTATTGTACGGAAATATCGCTAAGCAACACTGCAATTTTATCAGGTGTGCCCTCTTCTGTAGACTATATCAATAGACCTATACATGCTAAATTAGGGAATATATCCCATGTTTACACAGTGATCCGCCTTACATTATTGTTTGTAGGTACGCACAGCGTAATAAAAAAAAAGGTGACTGCCCATGCGCGAGCGCTGATAAGGCAGCGCGCGGGGATTGGACAGAAGTTTTGATTATGACGTCATACCTTGGTTACGTGCGCTAAATATACTCCCATTAGTTGTATACGCTAAATCTTTATTGATCTTCATACGGTTTGCAACTCTTACGAATTCTTAGCGTTTATTTGTCAATAATTGGAGGATTTTTTCAGAGATTTCTAAGATCTTGATCAAGAAACCATCGGGAAACTTATGTAAGTTCTTCCTGTCGTATTTTTATGCAAATATTTGTACTGTTTATCTCAATAAATGTGAAATAATTTGAACGTTAGCGGAGTAAAAAAAGAGAGAGCTTGAGCGCTAGTTACTTTGGCCGATCGGCTACGACCAGGGTAATAATGTGTAAAGCGCCATTGGTGTCAGAACCTAACGGATACCGGCGCTATATAAATAACCATATTATTATTATTAATATATAAATTACGCGTATGGAAACGAAGAACAATTCGTTACTTGTGTGCATAATAAGAGATAAATCGGTGAATTTTAAAAATACTGATCTGGTAGATAAATAGTTTTATTAGTTATAACTCTTTGAATCATAATAGTGTAATAATTATGAACAAGATAACGTTAAAGTCATCTATTTCTAAGCAATAATGAATAATTGTTGAAGCATAAAGCTAATGAGTAAACCCCCTTTCTCTCTCTCTCTCTCTCTCTGTTGTGTTTTTATGCAATCATAGAACACATGATATTTTAACTATTCTTGATATTTGGGAACTTTTTTAGACTTTAGAATTATGGAGGACAAACCTAACATTCCTGGGTTAACTCAGGAGACAGAACAGCAGAGCATCCAGCGCAGAGCCAACAGACCCCGCCGCCAGCCGGCCGGCGTGCCTGACGACCAGCCCACCGTTGAGATGCGCGCTGCTCTAGCAGAAGGGGCTAGTGATGCGATTGCTACGGCAACCAACCAGCTTGTCCCAGTGACTGTCCTGGACAACGGTGATGACGGGATTATCATCGAGGTAGGGATTATTTTGTTTTATTTCTATAAACACCTTAACTTAGGATTGCCAATAACTTGGGGGAAAAAACCAATAATTTAAATTTTAAAGAAAAAAAAACGATGATGATGATGATGATGATGATGATTATGATGATAATTATGATGATGATTATCACAGATTATAATAGGAGTTTGACTGAGGGTACAACTATTTTTAAACATTTAGGTAACGATAGTGATAATAGTGATGATGATGATGATGATGATAAAGTCAACGATAATGATGATAGATAGTAAGAGGGTGGATGAAGGTTTAACTTGTCATGTATGATGGTGATAATGATGGTGACGATAAGGATGATGATGATGATGAGAATGATGATAGAGAGAGAGAAGGTGGCTATTAATGATACATGTAGTTTTTATTGTGATTGTTATGATGATGATGATGGTAATGATGAGGATGATGATGATGATGATGATGATGGTAATGATGATGATGGTGATGAAGGTGATGATGATGATGATGATGGTGATGAAGGTGATGATGATGATGATGATGGTGATGATGATGAAGGTGATGGTGATGATGATGATGATGATGATGATGACGACGATAGTAATGAGTAAGTTGATATTGATATAATAATGACAATCAATTATGTTGATGGCGACGACGAAGATGATGATAACGATAATAATGACGATGATGATGATGATGATGATGATGATAAGATTATGATAAAAATTACTGTTGATAATCCCCAGAGATTGTTTGCTGCTTGCGTTGTGTTTCCCCGCCTTAGAAATACCATGACAGATATAGATTTAATATCATGTTGCTGTAAATCAAGGTTTGTTTTATTAATGTGTTCATCGTATGATAAAAGTTTTTCTCATGTATTTATTACAATCAAAACAAGTATGCTAGAGCAGGCACAACAAATATTTTTTTCTGTCTGAAAGACACCAACAAAATTGATTTCATGTTTCATTTTACTTCGTAAAGGCCGGAGAGAGCACCCGACAGAGTCTTGAACAACAGCTTGCAGTAGCAGATGCACAGCTCAAGGTAAGTTTAACATTTAGACATTTCAAGTTTTAAGTTTATTTATTTCCACTTTATCGAAAATAACACAATTGAACACAATATACATGGTAATAATTATAACTCATCATACAATATAGGAACATAAGGTATATGGTAGTAATGATGACAAAAGATACATGTACAATCATAGGTATGATAAATACATTGAAAAAGCTAAAAAAAAAAAAAAAAATGAACACATGAAATTGCAAAAAACATAATGAACACGTTATGACCTTACAGACTTTGTTATCATAGGTAGGACACGCTGAAAGGGTGAGCCTGTTTTTGTTGTTGTTACATGTCCAAAGAAACATTAATCTTTATTTGTAAGTTGGTCCATGGATCCTTATCTATAGATTTTAAATTATACGAAAATAAACGAGATGCTTAGGGAAAAAGTACATTGAATTTGTCAGATGATCAAAAAGAATATGATTAAAAATTGTTCGATTAACCTAAAACCATTGGACAGTTTGCGTCGAATTTTATGCAAAATGGGGAACCTTATCACTTGCAACGAATAAAAACTTCTCTTATAAAATATTGGATTAGGAGGTATTGCACATACCCGGCCTGAAATCGATTTGAAAGTAGGGAAAATGACGCGATGTATATTCATTATTAACTAAAGGCATCGGAACTTTCCATAATTATTATTTTGTTGAACTGTTCACAATAATATTGTTTAATTTTTGTGTGGCCTTTTTTTCACGTAGGACTTCAAAGCTCTCCAAGAAGCCGCTAAATCCCTGACCGGTTCCACAGAGGACACCCCCGCCGGAGCTCTGGCGAAGGGACTTGTGTCTGCTCGGGAGGAGAAGCAGGCAGATGTCCGCATGGTTGAGACTGAGATCCGGCAGATCCAGAGGGAGAAGGATCAGACTCAGACAACACTCAAGGTGAGGTCTTTTTTTTCTCTGATTTATTTTTCAACTTATTAATCTATTTAGTAACTTATTTTTATAATTTATTTCATTTGTTTTTTAATTTATGTATCGTTCATTCACTCATTAATTCATTTACTTATCAATTATTAGATTTTATTGGTTTATATTCATTTATGTATTCATTTATTTATCTCTTTATTCCTCACTAATTCATTCATTTACTCATTAATTTTTATTCGTTCAGTCGTTTATTTATTCTTTAATATATCTATTAATTATTTGATTTATATTTGTTCCTACCTATTTGTTTATTTATTTATTCATCTCTTTTTTTCTCACTAATTTATTCATTTACTTCTTCATTTTTATTCGTTTATTCACTCATGCATTCATGCATGTCAGTCAGTAAGTCATTTCTTCCTTCCTTCCTTTCATCATTCATTCATTCATTCATTCTTTTCACAATACAGACCTTGGAAGATCAGTTGGGTGACCTGAGGAAGGATCGTGTCTTCAAGGCGTGCAAGAAACAGCAGAGGAAGTGGTGGCACCGATTCTGCTTGTGCGGTGGAGTCGAGAATAACAACAAAGTGGGCGTCGCCCCTGATGAGGTTCGTGCATCTTCTGTTTTTGCGCCCGAAAACTGACGAAGAGTTCCATCGTTCTAGAAATAATATGAAACGTAATCATACCCACCCCTCCCCTCCCCTTCTCTCTCTCTCTCTCTCTCTCTCTCTCTCAGCTGTCTCTCTCTCTCTCTCTCTCTCTCTCTCTCACTCTCTCATTTTTCTCTCTTCCCACCTCTTTAACCATCTTCTCTTCTCTCCTCTATCTAGTGCTCTCTCTCTCTCTCTCTTTCTCTCTCTCTCTCTCTCTCTCTCTCTCTCAGATATTCCTTCCTCATTCTTCTCTCCCACACCCTCTTCATTAAAGCGCTCTTCAGTTTTCTCCTTTCTTCATTCATTAAAAAAAAAAATCAGGAATTTAGGAAAAAAGGTAGCAGTCGGCGATCATTTATTTAAACCCCCCCCCCCCCCAAAAAAAGAAGATTTTTCTTCCTTTACAAAATTATTTTCTCTACATATGTTCAGAACTTTATGTTTATACGTTTCTTTATTTGATTGTTTTTGTTATTGTTTTTCTCTTAGAATTACCAAACTGAAGAGTGGGAAACTCATTTTGCCGACCAGCTTACCAAGCAGTGTTCCACTATTCGGTAATCATTAAATTTGTTTAAATGTTTAAATATTTTTTTCTTCTAAACTATACATTTGGTTGAACAAATAGGTGTTCAAAATAATGTCTATCACAAATGCTAACTGGTTTGAAAAATAAATCATTTTCACACTTATTAAACCTAAAGATTTAAACTCATAAATAAGTAGAAAGTGCAATCATTGTCAAGTAATAGGACATTAAATTGGCAACAAGATGTTGAAAATCTTTCAAAGGAAATTCCTCTAGAGAAGTTAATGATATGAGTTTGAGTTTGAAGTTTTATTATCGAAACAAAAAGTACATCAATATAAAAATCATTAAATGCTAATCGTGTCTAGTACCACTAGCACACAAAAGTATCTTAACAATGAATAGGAATGTAATGAATTAATATGAATAACTATTGAATAAATACTTAAGCTACAAACAATTCTGCATCTAGGATAAAATATGTTCTGGGGTTAAATACAAAGCTTTGGTATGTTACACTAAATAAAAAGATAAAGAATTATATAACATAATATTTACAAAAAGAAACTTCGGTTCAAGTTCAAAACAATTATTCTATTAACATTAAAAAAGCATGTGCCTCTGAATGCCATTGAAAATTGACCTAATTACTTTAGGCCCTGATATCTGAAAAGGATAGTAATATTTTTTCAAAGTAAAAGAAGAAAACAAAATTATCCGTGCAAAGACCATTTATACAAAAGTGGTACTTTGTATAGCGGATTACCAGATTTTGCTTTAAATGGGTATTTTTTTAAAGCTCTTGGTTTTCGCTGCTTCCGTCTATAGCTCTTTGCAGAAGGACAAAGCTATCTTGGAAAGGCAGATCATCAAGCTCAAGGATGGCAGTGAAGCAGCGAATAGGATGGTGAAGGAGATGTCACAGAAGAACAAGGAGATGGCGAATGGAAGAAAGGAGGCGGAGAGGGAGAAGAAGCAGGCGGAGGGAGAGAAGGCAAAGGCGGAGAGAGAGAAGGTGAAGGCGGAGAAGGAGAAGGTGAAAGCAGAGAAGCTGATGAAGGAGATGGAGAAGAAGATGAAGCTAGAGGAGAGGAAGAGGGGGTATGTGGAGCGTCTGAATCAGGTCCTTCTGGAGAAGCTCTGTCATATGCAGCAGGACATCGCTCAAAAGACTGATGACATCGCTCAAAAGACTGATGACATCGCTCTTAACACTCAGATAATAGCTCTCAAGAATGAACAGATCAGTCAGCTCAAAGGGATCAATGACAAGTAAGAAATTTATATATACGTATTTTCTTTTTCAAAATCAAGATTTGAAACAACAGATAGCAAACACATGCCGATTCAATTGTGAAAGAAACGTTGTGGAATGGATCAGAAAAAGTTGATCATGTAGCATGACTGCAAGGTTCCGGAGTCATCAAAATGATAAGAAATTTGGCCCAGTCTTGGTAAAGTAACAAGCACTGTACACAGAAAGATGTATATGGGACTACACAAATGGTGTCGGGCCTACTTGCCTTGATTTCCTTATCATTCTATGCTCATTTATCAGCCAGTATACATTTTCTACCAAAATTGTTTGGCCAATGACATTTATTTGTAATGTTGAACATTCAGTGTAAGTTTCATTTGATTCTGTGAGAATTTATTTTCTTTTTTTACCAGAACTCAAGTTTATCTTCAACAAAATAATGTAATTGATTCCCATCAGGCTGCAAGAGATCACAGATCTGAGACTCATGCGAGAGGCCAAGACCAACGTAGACCGGGTCGTCATTGCCTGCCTCAACTTCGTCTCACCTCAAGAACTGGCCATCCAGGACCTGATGTCCTTCAACCATTCCTCAGCATCGGGTCAGACCATCCTGGAGTTTGTGGGTAAGGGTGGCTATGGTGAGGTGATGCTTGGACGTCTCAATGGAGAGAAAGACCCTGTGGCCATCAAGAGGGCGCTAGTCAAGCAGAACCTGACGGCTGAACTGGAGGAATCCGACAGGAAGCGACGCAACGTCCGCTACGAGAAGGAAGCCCAAGCTGGTCTCGTGATGTCTACCTCGCCCTACTTCCCTCGTTTCTTGGGGACCGTGATGATCAATGGAGATCACTGCCTTGTCACGGAATTCATCGGCGATAAGATCCAGGGCAAGTCCTACGTGCTCTATGATGCCATCATCCCCAGGAAAGGATGTGATCCTGAGCCGGATGTCCAGAAGTGGAACTTGGTAGCCATTGGTGAGGACATCATCAGAGGTGTGATGGCTCTCCATGGCCGCTCTCTCCTGCACAATGACATCAAGGATGACAACGTGCTTCTGGAGTACAGGAAGAACCGCTGGGTGGCAGTCATCATCGACTTGGGTATGGTGAGCATAGCGACATATCCTTACTTCTCAGGGTCCAATGGATCCATGTCAACTCACGCAAAGGGCTACTTTATCCATACCGCACCAGAAGTCCTGAAGGGCTGTGCCACTTCAGTGGCTTCTGATGTGTACTCTGTGGGCATCATCCTGGATTGCATCGGGGGATTCATCAAGGACGATAGCCTCCGCACATTGGGTGACATGTGCTGCAAGGAAGATCCTAAGGACAGGCCAGGTGACATGGAGGAGATGCTCCCTGGAGTGGTTCACATCAAGGAGAAGCACATGACAGTGGCTCGGCTGGCAGGCGAGTTGCTGGAGGCGGATACAGAGGAGGAACAGGAGTCGGAAGAGGAGGAGGAGGAGAGGGGAGATGAGGACTTCCTAACTGACTTGTCCGAGGCGGAAGAAGCAGAGGGGGAGAAGAAAGAGGGCGATGCTGAAGTAGAGGATGAAAGACGTCAAGAGGGGCTGGAAGAGGAAGTCTGGGAGGAGGGCCAAGTGGAGGAAGAAGGTGACGATGCTTGGTTGCTTCACAATGAAGGAGAGGAGCCAAATGGAGAGGAGGTGCAGAGAGGTGCAGAGGGAGAAGCAGATGCGGAGGTGGTAGAGGATGTTGCTGAGGAAGACAGGGGAGAGGCCAAAAGACACCAGGAGGTGGTTGATGAAGCAGAGGAGGAAGGGAGGGAGGAGGGTAACGAGGCAGGAGATGGGGAAGCAGAACACGGTGATGCTGGACAGGGTGTGGCAGGAGAAGAAGCTCTACAGGGCCTTGCGATGCGGAACGACGAGGGGATGGACCTTGCAGTCGAGGCCCTGCATCCCAATGCAGAGGAAGCAGAGCAGGGCGGAGAGGAGCTAATGCTGGAGGATGGAGAAGAAGGAGCCAATGAGGAGGGAGGAGGGAGAAACGACGGAGAGGTCATAGAGGAAGATGATGGGATTGGATGAAGAGGCCTAAAGTATCAGTTAGAGGAGGGGAGGATACCCTCAAGGGAGAAACAGAGAATTAGCTCAGGGCAGCACAGGAGTGACCTTTAAGCATCAGAATTATCATTTAAATGCAAAAACCTGCAAATAAGAGCACCATCATAGTTAGACCGGGGGAGGTCTTGTGAGAAAAGTGTCAACTGCTGAAAAAACGGATCATCAAATTTGATGGAGCGAGAGAAAAAGTAGGAAAACTCTATAAAAAGCAACAAAGCAACAAATTTGATGGAGGGGAGAGAAAGCAGAAAACCTCTGAAGAAAAAGAAATCAACAGATTTGGTGATGGGAGAGAAGGCAGAAAGAATCTCCAATGAACAACCTATCAACACATTTGCTGGACTGGAGAGAAAGCTGGAAAACTCTCAAAGAAGCGGCAACAAATCACAAATTTGATGGAGGGCAGAGAAAGCCAGATACACTCTCGAAGAAGCAGCAGATCAAGAAATCTGATGGAGGGGAGAGAAAGCAAGAAAACTCTCGAAAAAGCAACAGAACAACAAATTCGTTGGAGGGGAGAAAGCAAGAAAACTCTCAAAGAAACAACGAATCAACAAATCTGATCAAGGGGAGAAAGCATGAAAACTCTCAAAGAAACAACGAATCAACAAATCTGATCAAGGGGAGAAAGCATGAAAACTCTCAAAGAAGCAGCAGATCAACAAATTTGATGGAGGGAGAGAAAGCAAGAAAACTCTCAAAGAAGCAACAAATCAACTAATTTGATGGAGGGGAGAGAAAGCAAGAAAACTCTCAAAGAAGCAACAAATCAACAAATTTGATGGAGGGAGAGAAAGCAAGAAAACTCTCAAAGAAGCAACAAATCAACTAATTTGATGGAGGGGCGAGAAAGCAAGAAAACTCTCAAAGAAGCAACAACTCAACAAATTTGATGGAGGGCAGAGAAAGCAAGAAAACTCTCAAAGAAGCAACAAATCTACAAAATTGATGGAGGGCAGAAAAAGCAAGAAATCTCTCAAAGAAGCAACAAATCAACTAATTTGATGGAGGGGAGAGAAAGCAAGACAACTCTGAAAGAAGCAACAAATCAACTAATTTGATGAAGGGCAGAGAAAGCAAGAAAACTCTGAAAGAAGCAACAAATCAACTAATTTGATGAAGGGCAGAGAAAGCAAGAAAACTCTGAAAGAAGCAGCAAATCAACAAATTGATGGAGGGCAGAGAAAGCAAGAAAATCTCTGAAAGAAGCAGCAAATCAACTAATTTGATGGAGGGGAGAGAAAGCCAGAAAACTATCAAAGAAGCAACAGATCAACTAATTTGATGAAGGGCAGATAGCAGGAGAACCAATAATGAGGACAATCAGAAGAGCAAAATTGAGGAGGAAGTTCGAGAATTGCAGAGATGCCGAGTGCAGAAAGCTGCAAGACAATACGAAAAGTTAACGAGAAATAGATCAAGCAGCAATAAAAGTGCACTTGCAGGAAGAAAACTATCTAAAATTGTACCAACAATTTGAAAGGAAAGGAGAGAACTTGAAATCAAAGTACACTAAAGTGTGGCGTAATATGTAGTTCAGAGATTAGTGGGGGTGCCTGGTTGAGCTATCTCTACATCGATTCTCCTCTAAACTGGATTGGATGGAACGTCGTGAAGGAAACTACTGCAACCAAAGGAAACTAAGATTAATACGTAAACAAGCTTACCTCAAGAAATGACGTGATTTTTTTTGTTAAATTCGAATAAAAACAGTATTTTTGCAAATGTATAACAATGTTTTAATTAATTTGTATTATTATTATTGTTATGTCTCCTTTCTGCGCAAGTTTTTATCATCAAAGTGATGTTTTCATAAATTAATGATGATTGCTTTTCCACTTCACGGATTGCATTTGATTTACAATGAGAAGACAGAGACAGTGAAAAAGAGGGCAAAAAAAAAAAGATTGACATGAAAAACGGGAATAGTGTATAAGAGAGATTGAGGAGAGGGATGAGATAGAGATAAAGCGAAAGAGGGGGTTATTGAAAAAAAAGGATAGAAGAATAGAGAAAGAAAAGAAACAGAAAGGGAAACAGAAAGAAGGAAAGAAAGATATAGAAAGGGGGAAAGAGAGGAAACGAATGATCACAGAGAGAGGGTATCAATGGTAGTAAGTACCAGAAAGAGAAAAAGAGAGGGGAAAGAGACAGAGAGAAAGAGAGAGAGAGAGGGGGGGGGGGGCAGAAAGCGAGAGAGAGAGAGAGAGAGAATGAGAGAGGGAGAGAGATTGTAAGAGAGAGAAGGAAAGGATATCCTCAGCAACATGATCAACATGGAATGTTTTAAAATTCATCAGAATATTTTGAAACCAGCCATTTACATACTAGCAGGAAACAGAAACATATAGAGATTTTGGACCCTACTCTCATAAAAACAAACAAATATACACAAACAAATAAATAACAAGTAAACAAACAAAAGCTAGAAAAATAATAGCAACAAGAAGTGGATATTGTCCTATGCATGAAAAACTCTGGAACAAAGAATGCAAAACACAAAAGTAACAACAAATCAAATTAATATTTTTGTCAGCATTAAATTCTTTTTATTAATGACTGGTATTAAACCATGTTTTTAAGCACATAAAAACGTCCAGTCTCTTAATCTACAAAAGTCATGATTGCACATAATATCTACAACATCAACCATGTACCACAATTTTCAAAAACAATTTTTATATGCATATTCTACAAAAAACTCAAATTTCTCTCATTATTTTCCGAGTCAAACTCCACAATGAAACTATTTTTTCAATATCATCACACTTTTTTACATCATCTAGTCACTCTTTCACTGTTTTTCTATAATTCTGCAAAGTTTTTTCTTCTCCTTTAAGTATAAAATCTGCAAATGACTATGTACAATCTTTAGTAGGGTATGAGCTATTGCATGTCTAGAATAGTTTGAAACTCTTATCATATAATCTCCTTTGGTACAATGATTGTGCAAGACTACATATTAAATGAAAGTATGCCCATGGTGGAAATTTCCATCATATAGTTATAAACAAGTACCAATGTCATTGCGAAAGGTGAATTGCCGTTTGGTCTATTCCCTGGTCTACACCCAGTCTGTCTACTATCCACATGGTCTCATAATTTATTTAATCTACTTACCATGTGGTCTAATGAGACATTTGGTCTATCTTCTATTTGGTCTAATCTCCAATAAGTCTACAACCCTTTTGATCTATCACTCATTTGGTCTAATTACCAGTCGGTCTAATTCCTAGTTTGTCTAATGCCCATTATGTCTACTATACATACATGGTCTACTAACCATTTCATCATAATAATTATCATGGGAATAGACCAATTGGGTAGTAGACAAACAAGTTGTAGACCAAATGACTATAGACCTTGCAAAATACGAGGTTCTAGTTACAATTAAGTAAGTATACAAATTGGTGACTGTTCAAATGATTGAACAAACAAAAAATCCATGTACACAAACTGGTCAGATATCAGTTACTGAAAAAAAGAAGGAAATAACCATTGGGGCAGGCTAGAATAAAACCTCTTTAAATTGTTAGCACATTAACAATTATTTTCTATCTACACTAGACCTGTCTTCATCAGCTCGAGTTTGCAAAATAACCTGCCTTTTTTGCATCTTCATCAGCCCGCAGTTGCAATAAGCAGGATATTTGACGAGAAAATATCCCAAGAAATCTTGGTCGTTTCCAAAATATCCAGCTACTTGGGAAATAGCGGGCTAATTTGTACCCGTCCGGGCTAGTTTGTGAGCGTATCGGTCTGGTTAAGACACAATTTCGAGCTTCAGGATAATATGCCGAGTCTGAAAATAGCGGGTTATTTGGAAAACTCAAGCTGATGAGGACAGGCCTATCCCAATTTATTTGTTTAAAGGGAGACCTTGTTTTCCTAATTCCTAAACCCAAATTCAATGAAATGTCACATAGTAATAATAAACATAATAATAATATTGCACATACATTTACATAGATGGGCAAGAAGAAACCAGTATCGCATCTGGCCATGGTACATTTACAATGCCAAAAAAGCAAGGAGATAAATAGCGTATCCAACGATCACGATGAAAGTCATGAATGACTAATTTGTTAACATTCATGCTTATTTCACAACCATTAAATCAGTCAATATAAATGTCAATGCAAGGGTTTCTTTATATATTAAAAAAGTTTGATTCATTTGCAGAGAAAAGATTTATGTTTTGTACATTCTTATAATTTAAAATGGAAAACAAGTATTTCTTATTGCATAAAGTCCAATTACTGATTGAATACATGATTCTCGCTTGTAAAGATTGAATCAAACCAAATACAATAGGTTGAATACTGGAAAGTGAAATAGTTATGATAGTTTTGGAGCCAATAACATATAAGATAATGGGAAGAGTAATACTGATTATCTAAACATATTGGTGAATACCTCAAAATCCATGTTTTATTAACATCAACTGTTCAATATTAGTGTATATGGTTGGGTTTACAGATCTATGTTTTGGCATCCGAGTCAAAATTTGAATTTACTTCTGGGAAATTATATATGCAACTTGGAAATGATTACAGTAAGTTTTGTAGGAATTACTTGCCAAAAGTTTACCCAAAAGCCATATGAAATCTTCAATCCTGTTTAATCTTTGCTTTATTTGTTTCAAGGTCTCACAACAAGGCCTCACAATCTGCACGTACAAACAGGCGCGTAGCCAGGGGGGGGCGGTGGGGGCGGTCGCCCCCCCCAAAACGCCGGCCAAAAAAAAGAGAGAGAGAAAGAGGAGAAAAAAAAAAAAGAGGACGTAGGAGGAAAAAGGGAAAAGGAGTCGAGAACGGTACAACGAATCATCAAAGCTTCCACGCTTCGCGCGGGAAGGGGGGAACTGAGTTCAAATTTAGGATTAAGGGTCGGGAAAGTTACAACGAATCGTCTTCTTTCTCTTATAATTTAATGAAACGTCAAAACTTCGCACGAAAGGGGGGGGGGAGACAGAATTCAGACAATGATTAAGAGTCGAGAAAGGTACAACGAATGGTCTTCTTTCTCTAATAATTTAATAAAACGTCAAAGGTTCACGTGAGAGGGGGGAGGGACTAAATTCCGACAAGGATTATGAGTCGAGAAAAGAACAACGAATCGTCTTCTTTCAAAGCTTCCGCGCTTCGCGCGGGAGGGGGACTGAATACAGATAAGGATTATGAGTCGGGAAATTAGGTACAACGAATCGTCTCTTTGCTCTAATAGTTTAATGAAACGTCAAAGCTTCGCGTGAGAGGAGGGAGGGACTAAATTCCGACAAGGATTATGAGTCGAGAAAAGAACAACGAATCGTCTTCTTTCAAAGCTTCCGCGCTTCGCGCGGGAGGGGGACTGAATACAGATAAGGATTATGAGTCGGGAAATTAGGTACAACGAATCGTCTCTTTTCTCTAATAGTTTAATGAAACGTCAAAGCTTCGCGTGAGAGGGGGGAGGGACTGAATTCAGACAAGGATTATGAGTCGAGAAAGGTACAACGAATCGTCTTCTTTCAAAGCTTCCGCGCTTCGCGCGGGAGGGGGGAAACTCCCCCCTCCCTGCACCCACCCCCCTAGGGAGCGCGCTTCGCGCGCTCTGTAAGTGATTCGCACGCTTCGCGTGCTCATTACCGCCCCCCCTAAAATGAAATCCTGGCTACGCGCTTGCGTACAAAGCATAAACAACAGTAATTTAGAATAATAATGATATGGTGAATTAAGATTTTTTAAATGTCATGTTTGTTAAGAAAAGAGCATGCTTTGGTTGGTCCGCATTTGCTTCCAGCTTTTAAATCATAATTAAAGCCTGCATCTTCATTTTCTCAATAAATATCTACATAACAACCACAGATCCTGACAATTAAAATACAAAGTATTCTTTCATTTAAACTAGCAAAAGAATCTAGAATACAAAACATGTGTTACCTACAAAAAAGACAACACAAATAGTCTTTAAGAAAAAGAATGTTTGAAAGCAATTTCAAGATATTTCAAATGAAAACATTCCAGTTCTAGATAGGATAAAACACTCTCTATGAAAGCACATCAGAAAGCAGTTAATATCAAGATAAAACAAAAATACTATTGAATGATTTTGAGAGGTAATTCTCTAACAAATTATGCTTTTTACAACTATCATGCCTCTTACCTTTTGGACACTTCTTTTCATGTCACCACTTTTTGGTATAAAAGCTACAGTACATGTCCCTCAGCAAATCATGAAGTTGATAAAGGATACCACAAAAGACTACAGTGAAATGGTTTCTGGGGACTGTTTCACAAAGACTAAGATCAACTTTAAGTTGGACTTGAACTATGGCAGGCAATTCATGCCACTGGTTGCTCTCCCCATTGGCCTCTCAATTATGATCTTTAGATAATGTTTCTTTCTTCAATTATGAACTATCACAAAAGGTAAATTCTGTAGATTTGTGACCACAGGTGGTACGTCCCTTTAGAGACCAATGCCAGTAAATGGTGAGAGCAAACAGTGGCAGGAACAGCCTGCCATAGTTAAGTCAAACTTAAAGTTGATCTTAGTCTTTGTGAAACACTCCCCAGGTGTTTGCTGAATAAAACTAACATACGCGGAAGCATGCTCAAAGGAGCTTCACAGTCAAATACACCCTAGTTCTAATGCCCTCCCATCTTCATCCAATGGCCGTCAGCACAAAATACAGGAATATTTGGAGGGAGGCGAGGAGGAAGAACCCAGAGACGGTGCGGATGCGGTCCGGTGGAGCGGAGTTATACTTGCACGGGATGTTAACGTCACGTATGATGGGGCACTTGTTTTGCATCACAAGGGAGACCTTGTCGTCCGTGTGGGCGCAGGTTCCGTTGATGATCCTGAACGCTCCTGTTGCTGACACCCTGACAGGTTAAAGAGATTAAAGGAAGAGCTGGTTTAGTCTGTATTTCCTCACATTTCTTGTAAGTTAAAGCGGGACTGCACTACTTGTAGCTACTTGGGCCCTCTATATAGCAAACAATGCCAAGCGGTGTCCGTAGGTCACCCATGATTTCCTTTTTCTTATGTTAATTTATTGCTGATTTGATGAGATAACCACCTGTCAGTGACCATGCAGGGAGGTTTATATTCACTCCTGGCCAAACTAGTGCAGACAGGCTTTAAACGAAGAAGCTATAGTGTCACAGTCAGGTGCTTGGAACAATGGAAATGAATAGGTCATGGGTTCAATGCCCAACATGGAACTTATAGCCTTAAGCAATAGATTTTATCCTTTTTCTTATGTTAATTGAGAGCTGATTTGATGAGATAACCACCCGACAGCGACCTTGCAGGGAGGTCTAATCCCTCCTGGCCAAAATAGTGCGGATGGGGTTTAAAGCCTATGCAGTAAGAGCTATATATAAACTCACTTGTTGGTGATTCTGCAGTTGAAATTGAAGAAGAGACTCTCCTTGGTGTTCCTCCAGTTCTCAACCACCAGAAGGAAGAGATTGGTCTTTGGTAGAGCAGTCAGATAGTAGAAGCCAGACTTGCAGGGGCCAGAGATGTTTCCAGTTAGAAGACCAGTGGATCCTGAAAACATAAGATGATGGTAACGATGATAAAAATAATAATGGTTTCGACATTAATATATGATAGTAGTGAGGATAATAACGATAATGATGAATATTTTATTTTTAAAGTGCTCACTACCCCCCTCCCCCCCCCACCCCCCCCCCCCCCTTCTTGAGCAACAAAAACAATTGCATACAATCTCCCTCGAAGCAATTCTCCAAAGTTGACAGCCCTGTATTGGTATGTTAAGTATTGGAAAATCCTGGATCTTTGTCCGGTAGGTTTTAATCGTCATTGAAGTATGTGTCTTAATTGTAACCTATTTCATACCTAGAGCTGAGGTGTTAGCCTGGTAGCCAACCACATCTTGGATGCAACCACCAGAGTTTGAGAATGAGGGGATAGGACCTCGGTTATGATAGAAGTGGTATGTGTCTTAATTGTAAACCTATTTTATACCTAGAGCTGAGGTGTTAGCCTGGTAGCCAACCACATCTTGGATGCAACCACCAGAGTTTGAGAATGAGGGGATAGGACCTCGGTTATGATAGAAGTGGTATGTGTCTTAATTGTAAACCTATTTTATACCTAGAGCTGAGGTGTTAGCCTGGTAGCCAACCACATCTTGGATGCAACCACCAGAGTTTGAGAATGAGGGGATGGGACCTCGGTTATGATAGAAGTGGTATGTGTCTTAATTGTAAACCTATTTTATACCTAGAGCTGAGGTGTTAGCCTGGTAGCCAACCACATCTTGGATGCAACCACCAGAGTTTGAGAATGAGGGGATGGGACCTCGGTTACGGTAGAAGTCATCAAGGTCTTCAGGTGTCTTGGGTATGCCATCCAGAGACACCTAGATGAAGAAAAGCAAAGACAGAAAAATATTGAAGCATGCTAAAAGAGAAAATATTTACATTATATTGACTGCGTGGGCTTGAGGAGTACATGTACATCGGAAATATTAATTGAGCTAAGATCATATTGCCCTGAGTTGAAGACGATGGCAATATGCCATGGTCTTGTATATTAATGAGGTACAGGGTTCGAATCCCTGCTGCAGCACTATATAGCATCCTTTAGCAGAACTTTACTCTACATTTGCCACTCTCTATATTCCTTGAATGCAATGAGCCCTACTGGACTTAAAACTGAGGTAGTGATATATGCAAATATCTTTAGGCAGGCACATTGGGACGTTATATAATAATGTGATATGTGCTTTAGAAGAATGGCATATTATAATTAACACTTTGCCTCTCTGCATGGTCGATCGTTTGCCACAAGTGTAATTTTGCAGAAAAAAATACAAACCAATTGATGGAAGGATTGCTTTGCCCAACACAATGGCTTTAAAAAGACAGGAAATTACACACAATTATTAAAAAAAGACAGGAAATTAGCCACTTCTTGTCTCGATTAGCTCCATGACAACCCTTTTAACGCTGACATACATGTAGATCAATGTTGCACTGGAAACAGTTGAAATAACCTTGAAGCCTTTGGTACATCTAGCCCACGATAAATATAGTGAGCCACATTGAGTATATTTGTGTGGTATTTAAAGCCCCATTGCACTACATAGCTACTTGCGCCCCCTATATAGCAAACAATGCCTAATTGGTGACCATTGGTCCCCCATGATCATCTTTTTCTTATATTACTGTACTTGAGAGATGATTTAATGAGATAACCACCTGTCAGTGACCACACAGGGAGGTCTATAAGCCCTCCTAGCCAAACTAGTGCAGGTAGGCTTTAAAAGACCAGAAATTACCCATTTCCGGTCTCGATTAACTCCATGACAACCCTTTTAATACTGTGTAGATCAATCTTGTACTGGAAACAGTTGAATAATCTTGAAGCCTTTGGTATATATCTATCCCATGATGAGTTTATTTGTGTGGCAATTAAAGAGTTGAAAATATCATTTATCATTGCTAGAAAAAGATAGAAAGACAAAGCAAAGGAAACGATCGAGGCTCACCCTTGGGGCACCAGGAGAGACGCTGCAGCTCCCCTGGAAGTCAATCTGCTCCTTGCGCTGGAAGAAGCTGTGACGATAGATGAGATCGTGCATGATCTCACCCTCCTTCTTACCAAGCGGGACACGGTTGTACTTGCCCGTGTCAAGGTCGCTGATGTTCAGGAAGATGGGGTCGGTGATCAGCATCGCAAAGTTGTCAAACAGGTAACATCTGGGCAATTAAGGGAGAGGGACGGATGATGATGATTGCTGATGATATTGTAAAAATCTTCTTTTTTTTTAAATGGGAGCTCGATTTGGATTTTCTGAGTAAATGTCAAATTTATGTGCATGCGTGTATCTTTACAAATAGCTCTGTTGGTTTTCTTTAGATAATAAGTCGGTGATCAAGATTGCAAAGTTGTCAAACAGGTAACATCTGAACAAGGGAGAGGGAATGATGGTGGTGATGATGTTCCTGATGATACTGCGAAAAACTATTTTAAGTCATTTGGTCTAATTTTCATATGGTCTCATCTCCAATTAGTCTACTTCCCATTTGGTCTATTGTTCATTTAGTCTAATAACTATATAGTTAGTCTAATTTCCAGATTGTCTAATTGGAATTGATGGAAGTTAGACTAAATGGTCATTAGACCAAATGATAAGTAGACAAAATGATTTTTAGATGATGCAGATATTAGACCATATGGGAATAGACCAATTGGGTAGCAGACGAACCTATTGTTCATGCATAGACCACACAATTATAAGCAACTTTGGAAGCTAGCCCCTCCATTAAGACAGGGGTATAGTAATCAATAAGGAGGATGGCTACCAAACATTTGCTCTTTCGTCTTGTCCATATCGGTCATTGAAATGGGGTTAGGGTTGGGGTTGCTATGACATTAGGTTTAGGGGTAGGTTAAAGTATATGCACTATACAAGAACAATTTATTATCATCATCACCCCCAAATAAATACCGGCATATAAACCTGACCTACCTGGTCTGGCATCCTGGCTCTCCGTTTGGACAATTGTAGTAGTCCCCGCAGGAGTAGGGCATGTCGTCATCGCGCATGATGCTGTACACGTTCTTGTGGAAGTCGTTGTAGAGGATATCCAAAGAGGTAACAGCCTCCACCCTCTCCGATGCACACCGGGTGTTCTTGGTGTACCCCTTTGCTTCACTCTTGTAACACTTTCCTTTAGGGGGAAATGGAAATGAAAACTAGATGAATTTCATCCTTTTAGTTTAGCCAGTAAATATCACTTATTGGCATTATATGAACAAGAAATGTCATAAATTTTCCTTGCAGATGCATTTTTGTTTTGCTTCTGCATGACAAAGACATACATGTACTGTGCATGGAAGAAAAATGCTAAAAATTGTTGATGCTTTCTTTTGGAGGTTGTTTTAACATGCATCTTGTTATCTTGACAGACTGCCTGTTAAAAAACTGAATGTTGTTGTAGTTATTGTTAACCCTCATTTGAAGAACATGTATGTCATTCATCAAGGCTATTCTTTGATTCTGTGGTATTAATCGATTCTCTACTCTCATTCAAATTGTTCTAAATGCTGTCATATCATCAATATTGTATTCTACATTTCACATTTATCCATCAAGGATGTATATGTAGCTGTCATCATAACCATCAATAATGCCACCATCATCACAATTAGCATAGTAATCATCTTCATCATCATCATAACCATGCATTACCATTAGTCACCATTATCACCGTCAATGATCATCATTATCATTCTCAACACTACCGTCATCATAATCATTGTTTTCATCATCATCGTCATCATCCGTATCAGGTGATCTAACACTTACTTTGGCAACCATTGCTCCAGGGTTCATTTGATCAAAGACACAAGGCTAGGGTTAATTGCAATTGGGTTTAAGGTGATATTGAGTGTTAGAGTTATAGGTATAGGTTGGATCTGGGGTTGAAATTAGGAATTTGGTTAGTGCAGGAAATTGACTGCAGCTCGAGAACAGTCACACAGAGTATCATTATTGTCACCCTCGAACCGCTTCTCCTGCCCCTCCTGCTCCTCCTGCCCCTCCTCCTCCTATTCATCATAATCACCTTCACCATCATCACCACCACCACCATCATCATCATCATCATCATCATCACCACCACCACCACCACCACCACCACCAAAATCATCATCATCATCATCATCATCATCATCATCATCATCATCATCATCATCATCATCCCTTCTCATGGTTATCATTGCCATCACTCACTCACCCGAGATGCAGTCCTTGTTGGTTTGGCACTCGCAGCCACCGGGGAGCTTGCCCGTCAGCTTCTCGCACGACTCCCTCGTCTTGTTCTCCATGCCTTCAAAGACAGCCTGGGAGAGACTGATGATCTTGCCGACCCCCGCTGCGTCCATGTAAGCAGTGGAGATGGTGGTCTTGTCAGGGTTGACGATCACTTTGTGGAACCAGGGACGCCTGCCATACAGATAAGATAGGGCGAGTGATTTGATATAGCTAAAATCGAGGGTTCAGTGACAAAAAGACGTAACTCCACATTTTGCCAAAATGAGTCATTGATATCAAAATGTTCAACCTAACCCAAAACCCCATTGAAGTCAATGGTTAGTGAAATAGACTTAACTCCTTAAGGCCCAAGTGCTCAGTGACACATAACTCACTTTTTATCCAAATGGCCAAAATGGAGTTACGTCTTTGTGTCACTGACCCCTCAAAATATTAACAGGCGGGTAATGGTGCTATCCATTTCGGAGGGGGGGGGGGGGGGGGGCTAAAGACACAAAATCAATCCAAAATGGACTGCACAATGGTAAATAACATACAAGGAATTACTTTTACCTGATGAAATTTACATTTGCATACATACCTCCCTCTCTCTCTCACACATGGTGCAACTGCAAACCTACTGTATACATACATACTGTTAGAAATTACTTTTTTTTTGGTCTCTGTGCAATAGTTGTTTGAATGAGAAAATATCAGAGCTGCCAACCTTGTGCGACCAAAAAAAGGAATCATGATGGCAAAAAAAAGGAATTTCAAGCAAAAAAAGGAATTCATAAAAACGAAACTTACAACCACGCGCGACACACTTTCAATGCAGAAATGTTCATTCATCATGCTGTTTTTTCCATACAAGCAGGTAGTTTTGTTGGTGGTTATTTTGGTATTATCGGCATTTCATTTTTTTTGAGAATATTTTTTCTCTTCAAGTATGTTTTAAAATTAATTTTCTATTGAATTTGTGATCAAATCATCATTTTAGGGCAGTTGTTTGATGTGTGGTATGTAAAAAAAATTAATTAATTAAAAAAAAAAAAAAAAAAAAAAAAAAAATTATTAAAAAACGTATTTTATGAAGAAAAAATGTAATACCGTAATTTGGGGGGAAAAACGGAGTAATTCCGGCAAAAACGGAATGGTTGGCAGCTCTGAAATATGAGTAAAACAAGTGTGGGCATCAGTTTTACATCAAAACAACATACCTTTTGCTAGTAATCACTTGCCCTTCCATTTAGGGGTAGATTGAAATAATTATTATATTCATGTGCAAATTATACATTTACTGCCTAAAATTTACAGATGATGATAATACAGAAATGGATGAATTTGTCCAGAATTCACAATGGCACCCCTCTGTACTTACTTTGTTGGGTCATATGGTCTCCGTGACCTATGACCTGGGTATGTGCGAAACACTCCGCTGCGGCACCCTATGTACGTCCACTTGACGTCTCTCAGAAGCGGCGAGGTTCGGTTCCTCCATATTGGTTCGATTTGAGATGTGATTAAAACATCAGCTCTGAAGAAGAAAAAAAAAGGGAGGTTATTTTTCTTGCAGAAAGTGTTCTAAAAGTCTGATCATACGCACAATGCCTAGCTCATGATGGAAGCAGAGATGGAGAGAGAGGATGACAGAGAGAGAGAGAGAAGGAACGAGGGAGAGGGAAATAAAGAGAGAGAGAGAAGGAAAGAGGGAAAGGGAAAGGGAAAGAGAGAAAGAGAGAGAGGGGGGGGGGAGGGGAAGAGAAAGATAGAGCGAAGGAAAGAAAGAGAGAGTGAGCTTACATTGAAGTTGAAAGCAGAAGAGCAAAAGAGGAAAAGCAGGAAGATAAAATTACATGAAGCACAGAAAAGAGGAAAGAAACAAAATCTCATAATACGAGTAATTTCCATCACCGTTTCTTTACTTTGTTAATATCTTTTACTGGTCAAATCAAACTTTCTGTGACAGCTTTGAATGGACATTTTTCTGATGCAGCTTGAATATGGGTAATTCCATAAATTAGTGACTCACTTTGTGACATTGTTGGTGTCCCAGTTACATAGGAACCCACACATATTTGTGGCTCTGAGTAAAAATTTAAATAGTGGAGTGAGATTGTTAAGTGATTCTAGGTATGAAGATGCAATATTATGCTTGGAAATCACTTAACAATCTCACTCCACTATTTAAGTCTTTACTCAGAGCCACAAATATGTGTGGCTTCCTTATGTAACTTGGACACCAAAAATGTCACAAAGTGGGTCTCTAATTTATAGAATTACTCATATACATAATTCTAATCTTTTTTAACCGTACACACCTTGTATTCTGCTCAAACACACCGTCTGGATGATTGCAGCCCACGTCAGGGTCGTTGCCGTTGTAAAACTTGTGCGCCCTCACCGTCTTGGTGGCAAGATCGTCATCAAAGAGGAAATCATTCGGATTGCAGTAGCATTTTGGCGCGAAGCGGATCGACGAGAACTTGTACGATACCCGTAAATGCGGGTATTTAGGGACGTCATAATACACCTCGATATCTTCAAAGACCCCTGCAAAACAAATAAATTTATGAGCATAGAATTCACAGATCTGGGTCATTATTAAACAGAAACAGACCTAAATTAATAATTAATCAAAATGACAAACTATTATCAAATGAAAAGGGGATGACAGTTTTCTGAACCGTTCTCTGATCTACATGTTGAAGAAAAATGATTTCAGAAGGGTGGATTAACAATTAATGGCGGAAAATTGGAAAAATATCAATACAAATTTTCATTTTTGGGCAAAACAAGTGACTGAAACGATCATATTGTCAATTTGTCTACTTGTTCCGAACATCAGGGCACAATTTTACATATAACAGGCCCATCAAATCTCTTTCGATGATTATGATGATTGAAAAAATTACCCCTGACAATTTTTTCAACAGCCTACATTTGGTCCGCTTTTGACCCGTCGGCATCCTGTTCGTACAAAAATGATTTTGTGTAACTTGCCAACAAAAGCGGTTATGACTGTATTTTACCATTACTGTAATTGACTATGATTTTTGTAATGAATTGATTTGTAAACTTTCACCAGTTAAAAACCAATTTTTGAAAGGAATCATAATAAATGCTTAATTGAAAGAAAAGAAAAATTTAAATTGAATAGTTATGAAAATACAGTGTACACATCTGCCTTTTGGCACAGGAGAGAGAAAGGAGCATGTAGCAGAAATATTCAGTCAAACCTGCCTTTGTGGCCACCTGTATAGAAAGACCTCATTTTTTGTGTCCCTTGAAAATGGTTTCTCATTGAAACATGTACTAGGGAACATGTACATAAAGACCAACTGCCTATCAAGGACACTTTTCATGTTTCCCCTGAGCGGTCTTCATTATACAGGTTTCACTGTACAAAGTAATGTGTATAAGCGAGTGAATTATACCTGGTAGATCTGTTCTTGCGAGTGAGCTGTTGTACTCGATGAGGAGGTTGAAGTAGCTGGTGTTGTAGCGATCTCTGTCAGGAGGCTCCTCTAAACGTCTGAAGCTCTGTTGACAGACAGGAGAATGAAACCCAACAAAGATGAGCTGATATCAAAGGGGGTGTACCATGTCAAGACTACGTGTCTTTCCTGTGGCCTGACTCAGGGCCGATATATACTACCGACTACGGAAGACGCGACCGCAGTATTCACGTACAGTTGTCCAAAAGAAGTCGTAGATGGCGTTAACCAGTATTTGCCATGCTACACCCCCTTTAAGCTTATTAAAAAATTGTCAGCCACTCCAAATTAATTTGAAATTACTCCTATTTGATTACATAGCAAGGTTAACAATCTCTCCAAAGTTTGCAGTTTCCTTGCTAGCCATTCTCCCATGGGAGCTGTCACTTTGACTAAAATTCAAAAAACTATTTTTTTTTAAATTGTTATATAAATATAGCTACAGGTAAACTGATAAAATTGTGTAAGACATTTGATATACAAGCGCTATACAAGAACGGGCTATTATTATAGCAAGGAAAACAATCTCTTCAAAGTTTGCAGTTTCCTTGCTCATCATTCTCTCACGGGAGCTGCCATTTTCATTAAACTTGTTTTAAAGATTTGTATATACACCTGTAGATATAAAGCTACATGTAACTAATAACATGATATTCAAAATTTTCCAACTCATGGCTTTATTTACCCTATCTGTATCGGCAAGGTTGAAGGCAAAGGAGTAGACGGATTGGTTGAGAGATGTGTAGTAATATGTTGCTGGTTGCTGTAGTGTCTTCACTCCATCTGCAAAATCACCCTGTAGAGATAAATACAAGATAACTTTCTTGAAAGTAATGAAATCATATAATAAATAATGATATTTCGCATGTGTAGCGCTTAATACATGGAAAATGTCTCTATAAGCGCTTTACAGATATATTATTACCCCGGTCATCGGATTCAGGCTTGCCCGCAAACAATGTATGCACATTCTGCACTCCTTTGGGAGTATTTCAGCCAGGCGCAATTTTACAGACACTCACTTTACTGATCAATCTTTATGACTCTAGATTGATCAATACCAGTTCTGAGAAGATATAAACTTTATCTATCAAGAATATACCAAATTGTCACAATCACTTCAGGAAAAGATATAACAAAAAAATTATTCAAAATTTATGGGCAACAGTGTAGCTATATGAAACACAAAACGGGTAGAAGTGAAATTAGGGAGGAAATATAATTAAATACTACAACGATGTACACACTGTAACACCAACTTTGGGTACTCTCTTAAAGACCGTCAATACTACTGGGCCAGAAGGGATTAGACCACACAGCGAGGTCACTGACAGGTGGCTATCTCATTAACTCAGCTCTCAACTAACATAAGAAAAAGAGGATCATGGGGGACCAACAGGCACTGATTGGGTAAGTTTTCTATATACTGTAGAGGGAGCAAGTAGCTACAAGTATGACAGTGGGGCTTAAAACGGAGCAGTGAAAATACAGTAAAACCTGCTTTAGCAACCGCCTGTCTTTAAAGACCACCTACCTATAAAGACCACTTTTCATGTTTCCTGTTAGCGGTCTTTAAATACAGGTTTCACTGTAGCTATAAAACACAGGGAAGCAAAATAAGGGGGTAATGTGGACAAATGATGTAATACGAACCTTGGGTATTCCCCTAATAGCATCAGGGATGTAGAGGAAACCACTCATGCCCTGTCTCATGTCTTTCTCCACGATACTGAATGACTCTGGCTTCCCTTCCGGCTGTTCCAGCTTGGCAATGTTGATGAATATGGGATCATCCACGAGCTACGTAGGAAAACAAAATGTTAAGTTACAGTCACTGTACAAAAAATTGTTACATGATTTATGATTATATTCAAACCTGCTTTAGTGATCACCTGTATAGACAGAATACCTGTCTATTGAGACCACATTTTTTGTTTCCCTTGAAAATGGTTTCTCATTGAAACATGTACATAAAGACCGCTGCCTATAAAGAACACTTTGCGGATTTACTTTGAGCTGTCCGGCTTTATATACGTATAGCTCAGATTTCAGCTTCTAAATAATGTAAATACTGCACTTTGTGTTGAATTCATTTAAAGCCTATCTGCACTAGTTTGGCCAGGAGGGATTACACCTCCCTGCATGGTCACTGATAGGTGGTTATCTCATCAAATCAGCTCTCGATTAACATAAGAAAAAGGGGACCATAGGGGACCAATGGTCACCGATTAGGCATTGTTTGCTGTATAGAGGGAGCAAGTACACTGTAGCTACAAGTAGTACAGTGGGGCTTTAAGACCACTTTTCAGGTTTCCTTTGAGCTGTCTTTATATACATATAGCTCAGATTTCAGCTTCTAAATAATGTAAATACTGTGATTTATGTTTAATTCCTTTTAACCAACCAGTAAAACAGTGCAAAAATCAAACAAATCAGAAATCAGGTGTAAATGGGTACCTGATATGCTTGAGCACTAGCTACTTTTGCAGCTCGGCTATGACCAGGGTAATATGTGTAATACTGGTGCTATATAAATATCTGTATTATTGAAATGAATTCTTACCGCCTTGCTGGGTTTGAGCAGTGGATGGAAGATAGTCTGGGCCTCGTTGTCAATCAGGAAAGCATAGACGGATCCCCATTGCTCATTGACGATCAGGTTCTCAATCTCGTCTAGAGTGGCGTCAATACCAACCACACCTATTACACTGATATATTAAAGATAATGGAGAAGAAAAAAAACATGTAAAAATTCAGATTTGCATTTAAAGTCTTCAGCTTATAAAGTTTCTGAGCTGCATTAAAGGTTCAAAACCAGACTGAAATTAAATAAAAATATTAATATGGTTATTTATTTAGCGCCGGTATCTGTCAGGCTCTGATGCTCATGGCATTTTACACATATTACCCTAGTCACTTTACATCTTATGAAGATTTTGAAGATACACGTACATACGTGTATAAATATTTAGAAAAGTGACATAACCTATTGAGACAGGAAAATGAGAAATATAGTTGTTGAGAGGACGAGGAAGAGAGAGAAGAGGAAATGGACAGATATAGCGCTAGACAGAGAGAGAGAGAGAGAGAGAGAGAAGGGGGAGGTGGACAGATATAGCGCTAGACAGAGAGAGAGAGAGAGAGAGAGAAGGGGGAGGAGCAAATAAGGGGATAGGGAGATAGTGAGGAGAAGAAGAGGAAGAGAGAGGAGAGGCAGAGAAACAGGGAAGGGGAAAGGAGGAAGGGAAAAAGAGAGATGAGAGAGAGAGAGAGAGAGAGAAATTGAGAAGTGGAGCAACGGGGGGGGGGGGGGGGGGGGAATAGAGCAAGAGAAAGAGAGGGAAACACATAACATATGCTGAGGGAAAAACACAAATACTGCGCAAAGGGTGAGGTAGGTAATTGGCAAGGACAGAGAGGAGAAGAAAGGGTGGAAGCAGAATAAACAGAGTGACAAGATCTTGATGTTAAAGCAAGAGAAAATTGTAAGCACCTACAACAGAATTATTCTTTAAAATTACTCCATATCTTCAGTAGATAATCAAACTGTCAAATCTTTGATATTCCATGTACAGGTAGTAATCAGGTAATGGTAGGCAGAGATAAGGGGAGAAAGAAGAGTGGGAGGGGGAGGGGGATGGAGTAAAAAAATAGAGACAGGGACAACAAAAATGATATCAAAGGAAGAACAAGAACAAGAGAATTGCTATGTTGATGCAAAAGAGTCAAGGTCGGGGGAGGAGAGGCATCCCGAGACCATTCGGTTCAGTAACTAGTAAGACACAAGTAACTGCCCTATAAGCGTCTCCCCTCTCCCCCCAGCAAAAACAACAACAAACAAATCCTTGGAGAACAGGGTAATGCTATTTCTATGCAAAAGAGTCAAGGTCAGGGGCCATCCAGAGACCATTTGCCTTCAGGAACTAGGAAGACAGAAAAACCTATAGTAGCTATAGTAGCTGCCCTCTCCCCTCCTCTCTCCCCTCCACCCTCCCCTCCACCCTCCCCTCCATCTCCTTCCCTCCTCCTGCTCTCCCCCCTCCCCCTTCAAAAAACACACAACATTTAGCCTTTACCTTCCTGTAACTTGGCTAATAGCAGGGATGGCAATGGTTACCATCAACCCAAGACCCCAAGAGTCCAGGTAGGGAGCTGTCCAGAGACCATCGGTGTTCAGGGAGTTGTTGGAGAGGAACTTGAAATAATCATCCATCTGGGAGATGAGGTCCTCCCCATTCTGGAGCTTCCTCATGTTGCCACGGTGATCGCATGCCAGCTTGCCCGGAAACTCCTCCCCATCGTCCTTGGTGAGATAGCTGAAAATTCTTGCCTGGAAGAGAGAGAGAGAGAGAGATGGCAGAGAATGATTGGATTTGTTTCACAGACATGTCATTCATCAGATCTGATTATTAATGATAGTTGGGTCTTGTATGGCGCTCATGGCACATCGCCACTCCTGGCACTCCATATATCATTACCCTGGCTTTAGCATGGCTGCCATTACAGCGACCAAGCATTTTAAGTAATACATTCTCGTCAGGTACCCATTTACCTCAGCTGGCTAGAGCAATGCAAATGTACATTAATATCTTGCCAAAGGACACAAGTGCTGTGACATGAAAGGATTTGAACCCGGTTCTAATGGTTATAATGGACTTAAATGCATTTAAATGTTTGTTTTTTTCCAGCCAGTAATTAGTTTCGAACTTCTTGTGCGAGGTTTGTGCGGTTACAACCACGTATTCTTTTGACACTCTATCCGTGCCAAAGACAATAGGTACACCCTATCGAAACGTCGAGATTGAGCATGAGCGGGCCGTTTGCGGGGCCAACTAACCCTGTTGAAAGAATACATGTACATGGTGTAACCCAAAACCTTGCTCAAATCTATCATCACCAGGGAAGCCTTCAAATATCACACGTTTTAAAGCCAGTCTGTACTAGTTTGGCCAGGAGGGATTATACTTCCCTGCATGGTCACTGACAGGTGGTCATCTCACCAAATCAGCTCTCAATTACAATAAGAAAAAGAAGATCATGGGGAATCAATGGTCACCGATTAGGCATTGTTTTCTATATAGAGGGCACAAGTAGCTATAAGTAGTGCAGTGGGGCTTTAAATTGGTCACATGATTCATCTCACTCACCCTGGGGCTAGCTTTACTGTTGTCCATGGCAACCTCATCCCAAACCTTCTCCCACTGATACTTGCAGATAGGTCCGGGTACAAACCCACTACGGGTGTAGTAGCCTGCAAATATGAAAAAGTAAAAAAAAAATGAAGGTAGCTTTAATAGTATACATGTAGATATGATGACTGCTGTGAGAGGAATAGTTGTTTTAAAGGCTTAAGGAGAGAATCAATTCACTAAGATTTCTTATTTTTTCTTCATTATCTTGCTTTCACTACCACTTCTAAACAGTAGCGTTATCCTCATGGTAAATTTCTCACTCTAAATGAACACGAAAGACAAGAAGCTGGTGCCTTTGAATGTTTGAAACAGATAAATAGTGCCATACAAGTGCTGTGAATCATCATCATCATCATCATCAACAGAGATGCCAACCTTCATCACCAAAAAAAAGTATTCTTAAGAGGAAAAAACAGTATTTTTGAAAAATCTCCAAACTTAACATATCGCCCAATCGAGTAGCTTAAAAAAACCGGCAGTACCACATATACGACCCGGGATCGGAGCGCGACGTGCATACAGTACACTAGGGTTGTTCGCAAAGTGCGCAGTTTGGGGCCCCGTATCACCGTCCTGCGTGCATCGTTTGAAGACACAGGTGCACATTCGACACAAAGCCGATGATCAGAAATTAAGAAAAGCGTCAATTAAAAAATAAAAAATAAAAAACAAACGTAACAATACATACAAAAACGTACGGCCGTATTCATAGCAAAAAAACAGAACAAATACGGCAAAATCGGAACGGCTGGCATCTCTGCATCAGCCTTTGATATTTTAACGGGTCGATCGTTACCTGGCCCACATCTGACATGTTCTCCGTCCGTATCCTTCCCATCAGTCACCAGGATAATGAGGGCTTGACATCCTGTTCTTGATCTGCCTCCAAGCAGCTGAAAGGCTTTCTGAAAACCATGTCTGAGGGAAGAAGAGAAATATATTCATCAATGTCTTAAAGGGGCTCTAGCATGGGTAATACGTACTGCTCGACGCCATCTACGTCTACTTTTGGACAACTGCACGTAAACTAATGGACTTGATTAACTGGGTCAGCGCGCTAGTTTTCGCGAACGGACCAAAGTTTTCCTCACGCTTCGGTTTTGCGTATGTTGCACGCACATGACTACGTAGGCCTACTGCGCTCGCATTGTCCGTAGTCGTATTATTACCGATTGGCCTCGAGTCATGCCACGGGAAAGACACATAGTCTCTTCATGCTTCAGCCCTTTTAACTGTTCAGAACAGACATACCCATACACTGAACAATCTCTGATCCATGTTTAGGTTAGTACCAGTTTCGGTTTAGGTTGGTTAATTGATTTGTTTGTTTTACCCGACTGCTAAGAAAGTATATGCTTGTAAGTAAGCAACCAGGGGACCAACAGCTTCATGTCCTCTCTGAGGGACTCAGTAATGAGGATTAATGCCTTATCAAAGGGCACTAGAAAAAACTTGCTCGAATATTAAATTTAATGTTCAAAGCAGGAGCAATTACAGGTCAGAAAAAATTCTTCTTCTGTGATTAAAACATACTTAGAAAACAGATAGATGTACTAAAAAAAGCATGTTTTTAATAAGAGTTGTCTACAGCTACATGTAGATAACTCTTAATCTCTAATTTTTCCTAGAAAGTACTTGCCAGGCAATGTAACTTTCACATACACATAAATGAATATGGCACAGAAATCACAATGCAACTCACTTGAGTTCGCTGGTCCCGCCAGGAACAAGGTTGATTGTCTTTGAATACAGGTCTTTACGATGTGCCGTGGTGGCCGGGACCAGCGTGTCATTCTTACAGCTCTGTACTTCGGTTCTGTAATAATACCATCTAGACAAAAGAAAAGACAGAAATGTAGCTACCGGTATATGCATTCATCTGGAAAGAGATGTTGCTATATAAAGTAGAGGCTAAACATGAATAATCATAAAAGTGAGTCAGAGAGAAAGAAAGAAAATAAGAAAGAAAGAAAGAAAGAAAGAAAAAAGAAGAAAGATAGAAAGAAAAAAGGGAAAAAGGGAAAAAAAGAGCGAAGGTGGGAGGATGGGAAAAAAGCAATTGTGAGAGAAAAGAGAGCATAAGAAAGAAAGAAAGAAAGAAAGAGAGAAAGAAGGAAAAAGAAAAAGAAATAGAGAAAGAAAGGAGGAAAGAAAGACAAAAGAAAGAAATAAATAAAAGAGAAGGTGGGGGATGGGAAGAAAGCAAGAGTGAGAGAAAGAATGAGAGGAAGATTCAGAAAAAGCAGAGACTGCAGAGAAAGAAGATATAGAAAGTTCACATCTTATGCTGATCAATCAATTCACACTTTTAAAAATGTTTGGCACTAAAAATACTCTCATACAATGTCAGCCCTGTTTTTATGAAAGAAAATGAAAAGACAGCCTCAATCTTTATGTCTTTTGTAAATTTTGCACAGGTTTGGTTACAATTTCTTCCTTAATTGTCAGTTTACTGGTCTGTTAGGAACTTATTACCATTTTTCAATTTTCTAGTGTTTTTTTTCTTCTCCATTGGATTTCAAGGATTGATTTGTTTTGATTTTGATTTTATTTTATTCATCATCAATGTTCAATAACATCATGTACCGTATTATAACCACCACCTTTCCATCTCAAAAGTATCATATGTCTTTTTTGTTATGGCAATCCCAGCACAAGCCTCATGCTTCTAGGAATTTTGCCTCCTTCCCACAGTGTACATAACATTGTAAATATATATTTCGTGATATTTTCATTTTGTTTCTGTGAAAGAAAGAAATGTTTATTGAATTGAATATTAAATAAAAAAATTCAAGATGAGACTTACTTTCCCTCTCCGTCCCAGTGACTAGCCCGAGCACAGATGATGTTGACGTAATCCTGTTTGGTCAATGTATCTAAGACGGTCTTCACGACCTCTGTGGCAATCTTGAATTTCTCTCCTTTCATAGAGTAACTGTTTAAAGAAAAAGAAACCAAAAGAGAAAAAAGAAAATGGGGAGAAATGTAATTAGAACTACAATTGAATTCATCATGACTACTGCTTACATGTACATGGTGAATTTTGCATTTTTGTCTACGTTATGAAAATTTAGACGACCACCACTACCACAATCACTGCAACAAGTTTAAACACTATCACAAGAACCACCACCATATGATCACAATACCACAGCCACCAACACCATCACTACTGTCAACATCATCACAATCACCATCACCATCATCAATATTAGCAATATCATTGACACTATCATGATCATAATTACCATCATCATCATCATTATCATCATCAACATTACCAACATCATCGTCACTATCGTCACTATCATCATCACCATCATCACCATCGTCATTATCACCAACGTCATTATAATTAAATAATATTGACTGCCTTCTGGGCAATACGACATATATCACCCGAACGGAAGGTGAGGGTGATATATGACAAGTCGTATTGCCCTGAATTAGGGAGTCAATATTACTATTATTAACCACATCAGACATCTAGAGCAAACAAGAAACTCTTACTATCTTATACTCTTAAATTATGTAGGCTACACAGGGTTTCCTAGCATGAGAAGTTGCAAAAACATTGTCAAACCAGCACTGTTCATCCAGTGTTTGACAGATTTTCGATACACTGTAAACAGTTTGCCTAGGGTGTGAATGTTACGTCACAATGGAGTTCGCGCAAAGTGCGCATTTTCTAATACACGATGCGCGATGTAAATTACAACTGGCACTACATTATTGCGCACTAGTTTAACACGCATTTTGCCATTGACTTTTCAGAGCGGGCTAAAATATTTGCGCATTGGTTTTCTGTATAACCTATATTGCCCGCCAAATTACACACAAAATCCCATTGACTTTTTCTGAGCGGACTAACTTATTGTAATTTTGTTGACTTATCCATCAAACCTTGAGGGCAATAACATTTAAAAATTGCCCTGCTCAGATGTCTGATACGGTTAATAATCACCTATATCATCATTCAACCCCATCAAGCCACCACTAACCACCATCACCATTTGTCATCATCACCATCATCAACATTACCAAAATCATTGTTATCATCCTTACCACCACCACCATCACCACCAATACCCCACCCACTATCATCACAATCATATACTACCTTCATCATCACCACCATGGCATCATCACTAACACGACCACTACCACCACCACCACCACCGGTGACACGACATTTGCTCCTGCGACAATTGCTCCGGGCTTTATTTCGTCTAAGATGTAGGGTTAGGGTTAGGGTTTCAATAGGGTTTTATGTTAGGTTTAGGGTTAGGTTTAGGGTAGGGTATAGTGTTGAATCCAGGGTTGAAGTTAGCCATTCGATTAGTGTATGAAATTTACAGCGGAGCAATTGTCGCCGGAGCAAATGTCATGGAATCCCACCACCACCATCACCACCAATACCCCACTCACTATCATCACAATCATATACGACCTTCATCATCACCACCATGGCATCATCACTACCACGACCACTACCACTACCACCACCACCACCACCACCACCACCACCATCACCACCAATACCCCACTCACTATCATCACAATCATATACGACCTTCATCATCACCACCATGGCATCATCACTACCACCACCACTACCACCACCACCACCACCACCACCACCATCACCACCCACTATCATCACAATCATATACAACCTTCATCATCATCACCATGGCATCATCACTTCCACCACCACTACCACCACCACCACCACCACCACCACCACCACCATCACCACCAATACCCCACCCACTATCATCACAATCATATACGACCTTCATTATCACCACCATGGCATCATCACTTCCACCACCACTACCACCACCACCACCACCACCACCACCATCACCACCAATACCCCACCCACTATCATCACAATCATATACGACCTTCATTATCACCACCATGGCATCATCACTTCCACCACCACTACCACTACCACCACCACCACCATCACCACCCACTATCATCACAATCATATACGACCTTCATTATCACCACCATGGCATCATCACTTCCACCACCACCACCACCACCACCACCACCACCATCACCACCCACTATCATCACAATCATATACAACCTTCATCATCATCACCATGGCATCATCACTACCACCACCACCACCACCACCACAAACACCACCACCATCATCATCTCCAGCCACAATCACCACCGATCATCATTTTAATAATAATGGCAATGTAGCTACATTCCTATCGTACACACACCCATCCCAGGGGATGCTCAGGCACCTAGCTAAAAAGGACTATTATTACTACCATTACTATAACTACCGTACATGTATTAAAGTTGCCCAAAGATGCTGAAAACTAATTCAAAAAATTTCTTTATTCCAGGGATCAATCTAATATACACCTGCGTATATATAATTGAGCACACATGGCAAATGTAAATTAATCATACCTGCAATCGAGGATGATGACCACATCTTTAGGTCCGCTGGTGGCTGCGATGTACCAAGGTCTGACCCTGGGGTCATAGTCATTGTAGAACCCCACAAAGTTGGTGTCCCATTCTCGGCCAGGGTACAGTCTAACCAGACCCTCAACCGAGCCAAAATATTGCCATCTGAGGAGAATTAATGCATACGGCAGACATGAATAAATGAGCATACAAATAACCTGCTATTTTCAGACTCTGGATAATATCCCGAAGCTCAAATTTGCATCTTCACCAGACCGATACGCTCATCACAAACTATTTCGGACAGGCGCAAATTAGCCCGCTATTTCCCAAGTAGCGGAATATTTTCTCGACCAAATATCTGCTAATTGCAACTGCAGGCTGATGAAGACCCAAATTTACTGGTTAAAGATAAACTTGAGTTCTGGTAATGCAATTGCATTGTGAAAGAAAAGGTGTGGAATAGATCAGAAAAGTTGATCATATAGCATGTTAGTAATGGTGTGTAATGCAAGGTTCTGGAGTCATCAAAATCATCATAAATTTGGCAGAGTCTTGGTAAAGTAAAATTCACTTACACAGAAAGGTGTATATGGGACAACACACATGGTGTCGGGGCTAGTACTACCCTGATTTCCTTATCTTTCTATGCTCATTACTCAGCCGGTATACATTTTCTTCAAAAATTGTTTGGCACATGACATTTATTTGTAATCTTGAACATTCAGTGTAAGTTTCGTTAGATTCTGTGAGAATTCATTTTCTTTTTTTAACAGAACTCAAGTTTATCTTTAATTTGCAATTTGGATAGTTAGAATAGCGGGTTCTTTGGCAAACTCAAGCTGATGAGAACATAGCCTGCCAACAGCCAGAAGGACGTTAACCCTTTGTTTGAAAGGGTCAAGGCCCTAATGATGGGGAGAATGATAGCTCAATGGAGACTAATAGTGGAAAGAGAGAGAGAGAGAGAGAGAGAGAGAGGAAGACAGAGAAGGAGAGGATGGAAAGAGAAAAAGGGAGGGAGAGCGATAAAGATGGTGGTGATGATGAGTTGAGGATGAAGAGAATGATAGATCAATGGAGACAAATAGTGGAGAGAGAGACAGAGAGAGAGAGAGAGAGGAAGAGAAAGGAGAGGGAGAGGATCGATGGAAATGTGCAAGAGGGAGGGAGGGAGGAGAGAAAACGAGCAAGAGAGAGAGAGAGAGAGAGTGTGTGTGTCAGATAGAGTGTGAGTGAGAGAAAGAGAGAGAAAGAGAGGAGATAGGCCGGGAGGGAGGGAGCGAGCAGAAAACACTTCACTTGTTCAGTTACCTGAGGAGGTTGTCTTCGTCATGATTCTCTTTGAAGATTTCCTCTAGACCACTGGTGAAATAGGTGCTCTTGATCACACCTGAATCAGCTCTGTTTACACTGTCAGATATCTTCACGATGCTGGACGAGTAGCTCACTGGCTGCTTGAAGTACCTGGCAATGAAATTAATATACACATATCCATTATAGATGTGTTCACACTTGTCGGATGTTTTGACAAAATTTCTGGGTGATTTGTTCATTGGTTGCTTGAAATACTAGGCGATGGATAACCATAGAATCAAGACTTTTGTATTGATGAACTATAGGGAGAGGGATGGGAGGATCGAGATCAAGAGAAAGGGGAGGGGGGAGGGGGAGGGAATTATTCTTGAAATGTATATGGCAATGGAAATAATATTTTTCACAGATCTACTTACACTCTTATATCAGATATTTCATAATTCAGGATGAATACATGTAGCTCAGTGGCAGCTTGAAATACTTTGCATTGGAAATTTAATAAATATTTTCACACACAGTATGTTTCTGCTACAAACACCGGAAATTAAGGGAATTGGCTATGTAGAATTAAAAATATCAGCACTAATGCTTACTGGCATGTAAAAGTCTGTTATTACAAAAGCACACCTACTTTACATACATGTATGTGTTTGACTCTTATTTCTCAGCTGTCTTAACCCCTTAAATGTCAAAATAACAGATCATGGAATAGTTTATTACATGTGTGTCTGAATATTCCTATTGGAAAACATGACAATGGATGAATGACATCGCAATTTAACAGAATGGAGACAGGTACCAATTGCTAAATCTGAAAATACAATGCAATCTGCAAGGCACCAATTTAGGTAGCTGAAGCGTAAAGCCTAACTTGCTCCTCAAAAGACTCTATACAATGATCGTGAATTGATGGGAATAACAAAATATAAAGGGATTTATGACAATTTTGTGTATGGATCATATCATTCAAGCATACATGCCCAGCGGCCAGTGGCGTAATGAGCAAAAACTTTGTAGGGGGGGGGGGGGGGGGGGGAGGGGGGCAGAATGGGCAAAGGTGAGAAGAAAAAAACCCTGGAAAATCAATTAATTCCAGCAAAATTTGTTAGAAATAAACGACGTCAGGATTTTATTAGGGGGGGGGGGGTAATGCCCCCAATCAGTACGCCAGTGCCATTGGAATACAAGCACAATCATATACTTTGCGATGAATAGAAAGATTTTCCTGTTTCGTTGAAACAGTTTTTTTTTTAATGAATTTTACGAACACCTTCACGGATACCATACTTTTCCTGGATTTTTTGACGACGACGTACCAGACATTGTCCGGAACAAATCTTTCCAAATTTTCCAATTTTTCAAGTTGTCATCATACTAAAGAGTAAGTATTATGAGGTTAGACATCTTTATTGCATAAATACGTAATAAAGAAGGAATTTTGATGAATCCTAGTTTAGATGTTTTCAGATCAAAGTTTGATGTCCAAACCATTGATTACACTGAGTGGTATGGATGAATTTGCTACGTACAGAAATGTTGACTCCTTACGGAAGTTTGGATTACATGACGTGGAATGTTGTAGTAGGCCATTGGTATCTACTGTTGAACGATTTTGGAGATTGGTTTTTAAGGGAACCTCATTTTACGATATATGAAGTGTCATATGAAAAGAAATTATATTTCTACAAGCTGATATCACATTTAATAGGTTTGATGATAATTTGCATAACTATTTGAGCCAAAAATGTGAATTTTTACAAGTTTTTTCCGAAAATATGAAGTGCTCCAAAATACATATTTCTCCATATTTATAGAATTTTTATGCATGGCTCCTGACTAGGAACTTTTTGAAAAACTGTCAATAAGTATGCATGGTTAATATTATGTTCAAATTTCAAGTTCATTGCTTTTCCAACAACAAAGTTGACACTTTGATATTACCTAAACTGTCTAATTATTCTTAGCAACGCTAATATAGTGAGATGAAAAATAGAGTATACTGTGTAAGCTGTTATTTTTGCAACGGTTTTATTTTCTCGAATTTATCAAAACGCAAAAATATTGCCACCACATCATTCTGGAGCGTGAAAATATCAGCATAAAATTATGTGCTTGCGTCCTTTTGATCGCCAACGCCATTTGCCTGGCCACTGCCACTACTATATTTCGTACACGTACATGTCCACACTCATGCTATACACAGCGTATTTTGTAGCAGGCGTTGCATTTGCACCAATTACAACATTCACTCAGTGATTCCACTTTCTGCAACAGCAAGTGGGGAAGTTCTCATTTTTAAAAAGTCTTATATTCTTTTGTAACCCTTGTCAGTTACAATTGGAATAATACGTACTTGGTATTTTAATCATCATTTAATATGTCTGGCCACCAATATAATAACGAGTTCTCAGAAACCAAATTAGGCTATTGGACAAATTATACATACAATAAAACATTATTCCAAGTGACAGACATGATTTGCCATCTAAAACATGTGCTTAAAGGTGAAATTCAAAGAAAATCACAAATATGTCAACTAATTTATTACTAGAAACTGGTAAGCTAACAGATGGCCATCGTACAAGTTTTAGGTCAACTACATATCGGGTGATTTATAAAAATACAACCACCTCCAATAGCAGCAGGAATATATGAGAGATTCGCCGGAAAAATAACGATGTTTTAATGACGTCACTATATGCATGGCCCTGGGAAGCGGGGATGCTGGGGGTGCTGCAGCACCCCCAGAATTTTTACAGGGGGGGCATAGCACCCCCTGCAAATTTCTTTGATATGATATATTTTAACGATTCTTTCACAAAATCATATAAAATTACTCCTCGAAGCGTTTTTTTAATTTTTTTTTTATACAAAAATAAAAAAATTGTGGTAATTTTGAAATTATGGAGATATTTTGCGAGATTTTGGGGACAAAAAAAATAAAAAAATGTCCTCTTACCCCCCCCCCCCCCCCGCTTATTCAACGGCTGGCTGAGTAGTTGCGAGATTTTTGGGACCAAAAAAAAAAAAAAAAAAAAAATGTCCTCTTACCCCCCCCCCCCCCCCCCCGCTTATTCAACGGCTGGCTGAGTCGTTGCGAAAATTTCGCGCAATACATATCTCAGCGGCTCCGGTGAAAAAATCGTTCCCAGGACCCTGACTATATGGACCAATACTGCCCAAGCAGCCGACATCCCATAAAGAATGAACATAATTTTTGTATTGCTGCATTTGTCATTAAAAATTATAACCATGCGCAGGGTTTAGAGTGAGGGATTAGATTATACATTTAGCCCGCCGGTAGTGAAGTAAGAGAAAGAACTCAAGAGAAGAACACAGGCACTGCAAATGTGTGAGATGTCATGGGACATCGTCTGCTTGTGCAAATCATGTCCATATTGTGATCTCACACATCTCAGCAGCGTTCGGAGAGCTCTTCAGGTGCTATGCCGGGGCTGTATTTAAGCATTTTATAATTTGATAATCATTACTTCGAATGTTTCCAAGCATTGAATTTTGATAACCTTGTCAAATCAAAGTTTCAACTTTGCAATAATGAAAATAATGTAAATTATTTTTTTAAATCAATGAATACTTTAAGTGCATGGTGTAATTCAGAACTTTTACTCTACCCCCTCGAGAAGAGGGTCGCTATTCATGATACAAAATTGGGGTCGTTATTCATAATATGAGAAAAGGATTGCTATTCATAATACGAGAAGGTCATTATTCATAAGGACCGCTATTCGTAATCAAAGAAGAGACTCGCTATTCATAATACTGAAAGAGGGTTGCTGTTCATAAAAATTAAATAAGCAAACAAAATGTTAATAAGAAAGGGAAATATTGGATGGGGGTGCCCCCACAGCTTTGGCGTAACTAGGGGGGGGAACAACAAATGGCCCCAAATAATTGTTGAAATCGTTTATTGAAAACATACATTTCAGAACAAATAAAGAAAAAAAGCGTGCCCCAATAATGTACGCGACCCGTCACCCCACCCACACCCCCCCCCCCCACCCTTCCCATCAGTCCGACCACCCTGCCCCATTTGGCTGCAGTATACCTTTGGTGCAAGTACATATTATTATTACTAACAATTTTTGTTAAAGTAGTTCATACTATTTAAACTCTTTGGTCACTTATCATTAGGTCTTCATAACCGCTCTTGAGCCCGTGTTTGATCTGTATTCGTCATTATATCCTGCCCCCTTGTTGCTATGAGAGTTAGATATGGCCACTCCAAAAATAAAACAAAATTTCTCACTGCATTTTTTATTTTATTTTGTTGCACTAGACTTTATCCCCCCCCCCCCCCCATTACCACACCACCACCCCCAAACCCCAACATAAAAGACGGTAAATGTTAGGTTCATATTCAGATTGCATTACCTCTTTGTACTCTATGTGACGCAAAAACCTTCAAGGTCCGAAAGTGTTCAAGCCCTCTATCCCCCAAAACAAAACACAAATTTAAAGTGTCCCCTCCCCACCCCATCCCTCTTGGGGCAGTAACTAGGCTTATGGTCCGGTCCAACTCGGTTTGTTTTCGATGTTAGGAATGTTTTTAAAAAAAGATTGTGGATAAATAAAGTTAGGTTAATTACTATTATTACTAGCATCATGAGGTATGATAATTCCTGGAAAAACGAAACTCTTTGTTGGCTAAATTGAAGAGCTTTTGGGGGCCTGATCCTTGACTTCTGGCACTGGCTATTGCTAAGGCGAAATAATTTGTAGGTCCATACATGTAGATCCTATTAAAAACTATACTTTCCACAAAAAAATTATTGTCATGTACACAATTACTAGTTTCTAAAATAGCAAACTCACTCCTTAAATATCAGGGACGGATCCAGGGGGGGGGGGACAGGGGGCACATGACCCCCCCCCCCCCCCGGCCCAAATAATTATGTTAAAACCAGCCCCAAAAATGCACTGAAAAACAGTACAGTGCAATTTTTGGGGGACCCCCCCAAAAAAAAAATTCCTCTAACCCCCCCCCCCCCCCCCCCCCCTGCTTATTCAGCGGCTGGCTGAGTCGTTGCGATTTTGTGGCGGACTAAAACAAAAATATATATATATGTTCTCTTACCCCCGTGTGCCCCTCATGTGTTCCCCCCCCCCCCCCCCCCCCCGGGAAGAAATTC